TGCCGTGGGTGTCGAGAGGTGCCGTAGAGTCTGTGACGTCACGGCAATTTATGAGGTCACGGAAACGGATGGGTGGTCTTTAGGGAAGTAATTTCTTCGGTTAAAAGCCAGACTTTAGGGTAAAAATGATAGGTTATGCAAAATGTTTTGCAAGGAGAGTTGATGCTAGTGTTTACAGCTACGAAAAAATGCTCTAATAGCTGCCGCGGGTAATCATTACAAATACAAGGTCAGTAACGGGACCCGGTTGAAGGCTAGGATGATCTGTCGCCAGTTCAATGACCCATCGTACATGTATGAACTATAAACGATAGACTGTCTAGCGGCGGGCTACAGGCGCATGTGATGCATGGTACCGTGATGGCGATAGGCTAAACGACTCATGGACGTTACGAGGTAGTCACGACGGCAACGTTTGAGGTAATATTAATTGAGGATTTATTCAAAACACAGACCGATAACAGTTAAACCTATGCAAACCTGCGAGGCGTGTGCAAATCAAAATGATAAAGGCGATAAAAACACATTTTTTTGCAAATAGTTGTTTACCTAGGCACAGCTAGGGGAAGCCGGGGGAAGCCCGGGCGCGGGGGAAGCCCGGCCACCCCGTTTCCGGCTAAATTATTCACAATAAAATGCTCAACTGTTTGTCCTTTCAGCGTGGCAGCTAAGCTTACGCCAGCAAAAAAGTTAAGGCTAACAAAAATTGCATATTGTTAAAGTTATAGAGCAAAAATGATATTTAAAGGGTTTTTAGCTAAAACGTGAGATATGTTGCACTGTTAATGTTATACCATACAGTACTAATATTTATACGAATGTTTTGTAAGGACCGTTTAAGTGTTTGTAGTGAGGGGTGACGAGGCAGGCTGGCTTAAGTATGACATTTTTTTTCCAAACATCGCTGTTCTAAAATAAAAATTAGCACATTGGGGTAACCCCGGGCGAGTGGCCAAGCTTACCCCCAACCGAGAGCAATGCCACTAAACCACTGTTTTCCATGAGATAATAGGTACTGAGCAGGTTTGGTTTACACCTAGATCAAAGATAAATTTCGAAAATAAACATGTTATCATAGACAAAGCCAGTCATGTCACTTAAGGTCAACTAGGGTCAAACTACGTTTTTGCAGATAACGCGACAGAGAATGAAGCTAGAGCTTCAAAAATGGTGTCGTTGTGTTCTTCTTCATCAGCCGAGTCGAATGATATGCAATATGATGCATTAAGGTAAAAAGAAAAATAAATTTTAAGGAATTTTGAAATACACATTTTTTGTCAATTTTGCATCACGATTTTCATCGACCTGTACTGTATATGTGGTAGACGCTAGCTAAAATACCAGTAGTGACATAAACTCTAAGATGTCCAGGGCTAATCAGTACCTTAATATTTCACTTTCCGTTAATATTTGGAAGACAGATAATGGTTTCATCAACTCGTTGTAAAGCGCTGGGGAGGTGGCCGGCGTTACCCCTATGCCGGGCTTACCCCAGAAAAATCAACACTTTTTTAAAACTCGATTTTCTCAACCTTATACTTGTTCCACGAAACCGAATTTTTGGGAAGACACGGCCAATGAACTTAGCTAGCTAACAGGATATCAACATTTTATACAGCACGTATGGTATGTAATAAAAATGAAAAAGAGCTTACTATGCCGGGCTTCCCCCGGCTTCCCCTATTTTGCTGTTCATTCAACACAATTTAACTGTTAAAAAAACATCAACTGCACTCAGCACCACCCTACGTTAACACCTCATGTGAGGCACTCCACTGACAAGCGAATCGTCTCCCACCTCCCTGTAGCAGGCAGCTGAGCCCCGGCTAAGGCCCATCCCATATATGTACTCCATTAGCATGACACAGTCGCAGCACTCGTGATGAGTTGAGGCTCAGTTGAGGTCATTGCAAACAGCGGTAAGATGAGCGGCGATCATTGTCGCCCCTTCTGCAGAGGCAGAACACAGTGCACACGATCCAATAACAGGAGTATCTGTGGCTGACAGCTCTGCAAGACCCATCCGGTGGCAAATGATGAATTAATTACACCGGGAAACAATCAATATCAAGTTATTGCCAGTTCCGGCAGGCCAGATTAAGCCGTCTGTGTTCCCGTCAAGCATGCACCCTGATCGTGTCCACCGCGCCTTTCAGAAGTCACAAATTACACAATAATAAAAATGGTGTGCGAATGCGATTTCAATCTCAACTAGTCGCTGGTTCCGATTGGAACGATTTGTGACATTTCTGACATTTTTGGCTGATCTGTGACATCTCTCTGACAAGGCCGTGGGGTCACCACTGTCAGAAACCCGTCTCGGCAGGACTCTGCTCAGTTGCAGCTTCAAATACTGGCCGCCTCATTAAAACTCGCCCCCACCTGCACCAAGGTGTCAGACTCCGCGCAGCCCGGCCGCGACCTTGACTGACCTTGACGCGACCCTGCGACGGGGTAGAGCAGGATGCTCCCCGCTCTGTGAGGCCTATCTCTTCACATTGCATCACTCACTCTAGTTCCCTCTACCCGGGACACAGGCTCATGACCCGACTACTCAGGATGCTAATGACATGCGTCGTCGACACAGCAACTCAGCTGGTGTGTCAATGATCTCAGTAATCCCCCGGCTATTGGACGCACCTCAGGTATTTGTCGCCGGCACCGCAGCGGTCACGGCGCAGCGCGGGGGCGGGTGGGGGTCAGGGGAGACAGCAATGTTGCACGGCCCCCGTCGGGCGGTCCGCGTATTTTCACTCACAGCAGGGGGCGAGGGAGGAACCCGATGCTTGGAACCCCTCCAAGTGGTACGGAATGCTGCCACTTTGTGTGGGTATTCTGCACAGAACGCAGTGGGTTATTTACTGACCTATGCTTATGCGGAGTACCAGAGATGCTGCGAGGTAAATTGAAATAAGTGAGCTGTTTATCGTGTTTAAGTGGGTTGTAAATCAAACCAGGGTGCGCTGCATCCCTAGGTTCTGGAGAATAAATGTCATAGAAGACAGTGATGAGATGCAATACCACCAGTGACCAAATAGATTGATATCTGCTTTGAAATTCAGCCAGCATAGATTCACTCAAAGTTAATTGTAGTGCAACTGTAAGAGACGACATTGAGGCAGACGTCAAAATCATACAAAATGCTTTGAATCATTTACAATCGTTGATTCTTGTAGGGCAGAATCCTTTCAAGACAAAATGGTTGGATATATTACGGTTTATCGTTGTGCAACTGTACAGGGCACACACCTCCACGCCAAAACTTTCGGGATTCTTTCGGGATTCAAAACCAAAGTTACGAGTGAACAACGACATCATCAGCCAAATGTCATTAACTTCCAACTAAAGGTCAGGTTCACTACCCCGCTGAAGTAGTTAGTTGCTCCAGTGGCGCAGGTCGGGAGTCAGTGACCTGCACCCCTCATCGCTCACCCAGGGTCACCTGGCCGCAGCTGCCCGCTCTATTCCCGTGCCGCCGTCACGGGGGCCGTCCGTGACGCGTGATCGCGTAACGCGACCCTCCGTGACGCCGCCGACAGCCACGTGACGGCGCCGTGACGTCACGGCCGTGTGACGGCGCGGTAGTGTGTTCAGAAATAGCGGCTCCATTAATGTATCAGATGCATTACATATCTCCCCATGCTTTTTGTCAGAATGTGAACTAAAAACCATATACCTCCATTGGTGACACAGGGTGTATCTTATTCGTTATGTCAGAAGGTGTTTAATCCATCGTCCTTCAGTCACTCATAGCTAAGTGCTTTTTGAACCATCCCAGCGAATATATGCCATCTATGGCGCTCCAAAGTTGATCAAACGTAACAAGACCAGTTCCTATCCATGGCAAGTGTTCACTCTTCCGTCACCGCCAATATTTGCCGCGGCCTGACGCTCCAATGCGTATCCAATACACGACGCTCCAATACCGGCTGTACGACGATCGCGGCGCGGCCAGCCGCCGGAACGCGGCCAATTCGACGCGGTTCCGTGAGAATGCGGCGAGTAATGGGGCGCGGCGGCGAACCGACCGCGCGCGGGAGCGGTAGATGGCGCATCGCTGGTATAACTTGACCGGCAGTGGGCGATTTATAGTCACTTGATGCGAGACTGAGAAGTTGGATAGGCGCGAGGCCGAATGAAAATAAAACACACGATATTTTCTGGTGTCGAATAATCTGTTTCTTAAGATGTAGAGATAAGGTATAGCAAGCACAATTAAAATTCAAACATGTGAAAACCATATCTGCATAAAGCACAGGCTGCAAAAGTGTAAAAACATCACTCTTTGCATTCCGCTGTCGTCGTTTATATGACTGACACGCGGGCTCGTAAAGAATTCCCCAAATACTATTACGAAATTGCCCGGCCCGTTTCTGGTTTAAACTATTTAAAACGCCGCGACCATAATTAGTGCATTGTTGCATATTGCGCAATTCAGAAAACCAGTGGATGCCCTAGGCCACCTCTGCCGTCAGAGCTGACATCTGGGGGTCGAAAAAGGTTGCACTTGTAACTTTGGCTTCAACGCTTCACAATTCACACAGCCAGCTCGGGACCCAGCCGAGTCTGAAAGGATCGCAACGATACGGCTTGGACCCCCATGTAACATTCTCAAGTTAAAGGAGTCGTGGCTAGGTGGTAAATTATCTTACAGCTAAGCGTTGAGGAGGGATTATCTGGATCTGATAACAAATCATTAGGCAGCGAGGTAATGATTATAATTAGCAGAGCACCCACATTCGGGCTCCGGCAATGTATGCTGCTACGCAAATGCTGTTCTGCGTTTTGAGCAATTTCGTCTGTGTTTGCATTACCGGGAAGTCGTGACGGCCTATTGACACCGCTTTGCCGTGTTTTTCTGTTTATTTCCAGGGGGATCGATGATACCCCGAGGGCACTGTTTTGACGTGTCTCCTTCTCTTTCCAGGGGGATCGATGATATAGAACTACATGGACCAGCCCCAAGGGCACGGTTTTGACGTGCCTCTTTCTCTTTCCAGGGGGATCGGTGATACCCCAACAATGGCGCTCCGGTGGGCGCTTCTAGTCGCCTTGGCCGCAGTGCCCGGTAAGCATAGAACACATAAATGGACAGGATCATAGCAGCAGGTGTATAGTGTGTACAGTAGTCGGTACAAGAACCAGAGACCACCCGTTCCAAACTTGCTCGAAACCTCGCAAAATGTTTGATATCAAATTCCTTTTGAAATATCGAACTTCAATGTTAGTAGAGCATCAATCAATCGAGGTCATTTCACTGATGCCAATCGTGTATTCACCCCAACCACAACTGAGGCCGCTGACGGGGTTTGGCCGCGTTTCCAGCGGAGCCCGCGTCGATGGCATTCGGCTCCGGAGGCCGACACGCCCCGGTCAATATGGCGACGGGCCGGCACCTCCCCGACGACTGGAGCCAGTACGAGGAATGGAAACAGCAGCAGCAGCAGCAGCAGCAGCAGCAGCAGGGCTCCTCCTGGCAGTCGCAGGGCAGCTGGTCCTCCGGGTCCTCCTGGGGACACGGCTCCGGGTCCACGCAGAGCGGGTCCTGGATCCAGGGCAGCGGCACAGGGAACATTGGCAGCGTGGTCAGCGCCAACGGCACCGTAATCAGCAGCGGCAGCAGCAGCAGCGGCAGCAGCAGCAGCAGCTCGGCGACAGCGAGCGACGACTCTGCGCTGCCGTGTCCCGGCCCCGGCCCCGGCACGGAGTACTTCACCTATCCCGGCAACTGCGCCAAGTAAGTGACGCCGAGGACACACTCATTGCTGCTTGTGATGAGTGGATCAAGGAGAATGCGCCTCCTCAGTAAATTTGTGTTCTTTCATTCAACTTGTTGTCGGCTTCCAAAGACTGACTGAGACTCAGTACCATGTGATAACGAAGACGTGCTTTCATCACCCGAGGCTTACCACAAACGGTTTAAGACTGACAAGCAGTTTTCCGATTGTCTAAGGCTGAGTAACAGCTATTTATTCTATGCGGGCGTTCCACCATATAGGTATCTGACGGCGGACACCCCCTCGTTTCCGTCAGGTTCTACCGCTGCGTGCCGCAGTCGGTGGACGGCACCGTCTTCAAGGCCTTCAGCTTCGACTGTCCGCCCGGAACCGCCTTCGACGCCGCCAACGAGCTGTGCAACTTCCCCGAGGCCATCGAGCCCAAACCCGACTGCGTCGCCGGAGCCGGAGCCTCGGGATCCGGAGCGACCGGAGGATCTGGCAGTACAAGTGGATCTGGCAGTACTAGTGGATCTGGAAGTACTAGTGGATCTGGAAGCACTAGTGGATCTGGAAGTACCGGAGGATCGGGTAGTACTAGTGGATCTGGCAGTACTAGTGGATCTGGCAGCACTGGTGGATCCGGTGCCACTGGCGGTTCTGGAAGCACTGGAGGATCAGGTAGCGCCGGCGGGTCTGAAAGTGTCGGAGGTTCCGGTAGCACTGGAAGCACTGGTGGATCTGGAAGTACTGGTGGATCCTCAAGCACTGGAGGTTCTGGAAGCACTGGCGGATCTGGCAGCACCGGTCAAGCTCAGTCCTCTGAGGTGATCGAGGGTGCTGGCCAGCCGTCCTCACAGCCGTGCCCCGGAGCCGGGTTCTTCGCCTACCCGGGGGACTGCGCAAAGTGAGTTACTCCGTAATATGTCGCGATTGTTGGTTCTTATCAATGCTCGTATACATGACAAAGGCATATTTCTAGCCTTATCCTAGTTGCAGTTTTTATTTTACAAAATCGGTAAATAATGTTTATGTCTTTGACATCTTGGGTTCTTGCAAAGCTCCATAAAAATGGAAACCGTTTTGAAACTTAAGAACGACTTTAGAAGCATCCAGCTAACAGCAACAACCAGCTTCCTCTTTTTTAGATAAAATGATCATAGTCCTGCTCGCCAATGCTCATAGCAATTACTGAAATGATACCCTGTCGTCGAGCCGTTGAATCAGAGCATTGGACCTTTGCCGTTGTCCATTCGTGACCCGATCTGGCGTAGCACACGCTGACCCCGCTGTCCTCCCGCCAGGTACCTGCGCTGCTGGGACCGGTTCGGCACGGGCCAGATGGTGGCCTTTGAGTACACCTGCGCCGAGGGACTGGTGTTTGACGATCAGCTCAGTGTGTGTAACTGGCCCAGCGCCGTCAGCAGGCCAGACTGTGCCGCCGGAGCCGGGGGAAGCAGCGGAGGAACTGCGGGAACTGGAGGAACAGGAGGCACTGGAGGCACTGGAGGTACCGGAGGTACTGGAGGAACCGGAGGAACTGGGGGCACCGGAGCTACTGGAGGAACTGGAAGCACCGGAGGTACTGGAGGCACAGGAGGTACTGGAGGCATCGGAGGCACTGGAGGAACTGGAAGCACCGGAGGAACTGGAAGCACCGGAGGAACTGGAGGTACTGGAGGTTCTGGAGGAACTGAAGGAACTGGAGGTTCTGGAGGCACCGGCGGAACTGGAGGTACTGGAGGAACTGGCAGTACTGGAGGAACTGAAGGTTCAGGAAGCACCGGAGGCACTGGAGGTACTGCAGGAACTGGAGGTACTGGTGGTACTGGAGGTACTGGTGGTACTGGAGGTACTGGTGGTACTGGAGGTACTGGTGGTACTGGAGGTACTGGTGGTACTGGAGGTACCGAGGGAGCTGGAGGTACTGGAGGAACTGGAGGCACTGGAAGCACCGGTGGAATTGGAGGTACTGGTGAAACTGGAGGTACTGGTGGCACTGGAGGTTCTGGAGGAACCGGAGGTACTGGAGGAACTGGTGGAACTGGCAGTACTGGAGGAACTGAAGGTTCAGGAAGTACTGGAGGCACTGGAGGTACTGCAGGAACTGGAGGCACTGGAGGCACCGGTAGCACTGGAGGAACTGGCAGTACTGGAGGCACTGGTGGAACTGGGGGAACTGGTGCAGCTGGAGGTACTGGTGGTACTGGAGGTACTGGAAGCTCTGGAGGAACCGGAGAAACTGGAGGGACCGGAGGTTCTGGCAACACCGCGGACTCTGGCGCGAACGGAGGACAATTCACCTGCACCCAGGCCGGTTTCTTCCCGAACGAAGACTGCAAAAAGTAAGTGCTTAACGCTTTATACCTCGATTTATATTGGGGCAAAGGAAGACAAAGTTTGCCAACACGCAGGGCAGTTACACATTGGGAATTCAGGCAGCATTGGTATATGAAATATAAAACTGCAGGTGCCAAAGAACACGGTAAAGAAGCGCTATCAATATGTAGCGTACAGGCCTCAAGTTATTAAATAATGAACACCAGCTGCATCAACGCTAGAGGGTTAACAACATAATTCCTTCTGCAGGTCACTCATGTTACTGGCTATACTATTACCACACAGCTTCCCCGCTTACCAGCGAACGTGCTCTTTCAATGGACTGACCATCACCCACCTGTCCCTTCGTCAGGTTCTACGAGTGTGTTGACTGGAACGGCGACGGCTCCCTGTTCGGCGTCTTCACCAAGGACTGTCCGCCGGGAACCATGTTCGACGCCAACATGAACGACGGCCTGGGCGGCTGCAACTTCCCCAGTGCCATCGAGCCGCCGCCGGCCTGTCTGGGAGAGACTGGAGCGGAAGGAGGCACTGGAACCGGAGGAAGTGCAGGAGCTGGAGGAACTGATGGTTCTGGAGGAAGCTCTGGAACTGGAGGAGGCGAGGGAACTGTAGGTACTGCTGGAGCTGGAGGAAGTGCTGGAACTGCAGGAACAGCTGGAATTGGAGGAAGTACCGGTACTGGAGGAAGCGAGGGTACCGGAGGAACTTCTGGTACTGGAGGCAGTGCTGGTACTGAAGGAAGCGCAGGCACTGGAGGAAGTGCTGGAACTGGGGGAACTGCTGGTACTGGAGGCAGTGCTGGTACCGGAGGAGGTGCTGGAACTGGAGGAACTGCTGCAACTGAAGGAAGCGCCGGAACTGGAGGAACTGCTGGAGCCGGTGGCTCTGAGCTCGAAGGCTCTGGCGATATTGAAGGATCTGGTGTGACCGGTGGCACTGGAGAAATTGAAGGATCTGGGGACATCGAAGGCTCTGCATCGAGCGGCGAAGGACAGTTTACCTGCACCCAGGCTGGGTTCGTCCCGCATGAAGACTGCAGAAAGTAAGTAAAATAGCTATATGCATTAGTTACTTCCTTTTACATGTCTAGATCAAAAACCACTGCCACAGTGATAAATAATAACGCAATCTTACGATTTTGAGCGTATCTCAAAAATCAAATCAAGGAAAGGTGCTTAGCCGAGAAAAAAAACCAAGATCCCTGTATCCTGCCTACAACCACAAGAGCAGGGCGTATGTCAGAAGTATGAAATAAGAGTGCACTGGTGTTTAAGACCAGCATGACTTGTTCTTCAGCGATTGTCCCTAAATGGCCCTAACTCTTCGCAGGTTCTACACTTGCGTGGACTGGTTCGGCGACGGCAGCTCCTTCACAGTCTACACGCAGGACTGCGCCCCGGGAACCATGTTCGATGCCAACATGAACGACGGGGACGGCGGCTGCAACTTCCCCGGTGCCATCGAGCCGCCGCCAGCCTGTCTCGGAGAGGCTGGAGCAGAAGGAGGCGCTGGAACCGGCGGAAGTGTAGGAGCTGGAGGAGGCGAGGGAACTGGAGAAACTGCTGGAACTGAAGGAAGTGCCGGAACTGGAGGAACTGCCGGGACTGGAGAAAGTTCTGGAACTGGAGGAGGCGAGGGAACTGGAACTGCCGGAACTGGAGGAAGTGCTGGAACTGGAGCAAGTGCTGGAAATGGAGGAAGTGCTGGAACTGGAGGAAGTGCTGGTACCGGAGGATCATCTGGAACTGGAGGAACTGAGGGCACTGGAGGAGGTACGGGCTCTGGAAGTGCTGGAACTGGAGGAAGTTCTGGAGCTGGAGGAAGCGAAGGTACCGGAGGAACTTCTGGAACTGGAGGAAGCGAGGGAACTGGAGGTACTGCTGGAACTGGAGGAAGCGCTGAAACTGGAGGAACTGCTGGAACTGGAGGAAGTTCTGGAGCTGGAGGAAGCGAAGGTACCGAAGAAACTTCTGGAACTGGAGGAAGCGAGGGTACTGGTGGTAGTTCTGGAACTGGAGGAACTGCTGGAGCCGGTGGCTCTGAGGTCGAAGGCTCTGGCGACGTTGAAGGATCTAGCGTGACCGGTGGCACTGGAGAAATTGAGGGCTCTGGGGACATCGAAGGCTCTGCATCGAGCGGCGAAGGACAGTTTACCTGCACCCAGGGTGGATTCTTCCAGCATGAAGACTGCAAAAAGTAAGTATCACTAGACTTATTTACAGGTGTCTCAGAGACTAATTTTCCAAGACAAATACACGATCACACGTTTTGATGTAGGTGTGCTCACTGCTCAGGGTAACAAGGTAGGCGGCGATCCGATTATATAACATCTAAGTTTGAATGCAAAATTTGATGTACCGCAGATGACACCGGCATGACTAAAAAACTTACAGCCACGGCATACATCAGCTGATCAGACACCATTGCTGCTGATGACCTTGTTGATGCCGAACATGTGCGCTCCTTATAAACGCAACCCATAATGCAATGTACTTGAAGGCCATCACCGGATCAATAAAAAATAATGCCGTCGTCGCCGAGTTTCCAACCAATTAGGTACCCAGGCGACTTGTTGTAATGACTTGAAAGCGAGAAGGCTCTCCAGGCCACTAACTCTCTTCTCCACCTCTCCCTCCGCCAGGTTCTACGAGTGTGTTGACTGGAACGGCGACGGATCACTGTTCGGCGTCTTCACCAAGGACTGTCCGCCGGGAACCATGTTCGACGCCAACATGAACGAAGGTCTGGGCGGCTGCAACTTCCCCAGTGCCATCGAGCCGCCGCCCGCCTGTCTGGGAGAGACTGGAGCGGAAGGAGGCGCTGGAACCGGAGGAAGTGCAGGTACCGGGGGAACTTCTGGATCTGAAGGAAGTGAGGGTACCGGAGGATCTTCTGGAACTCAAGGAAGTGCTGGGACCGGAGGTACTGCTGGAACTGGAGGAAGTGCTGGGACTGGAGGAAGTGCTGGGACTGGAGGAAATTCTGGAACTGGAGGAAGCGAGGGCACTGGAGGAAGCGAGGGCACTGGAGGAAGTACAGGCTCTGGAGGAACTGCTGGCACTGGAGGAAGTGCCGGAACAGGAGGAAGCGAAGGCACCGGAGGAAGTGCCGGAACTGGAGAAGGTGCTGGAGTCGGTGGCTCCGAGCTCGAAGGCTCTGGCGATATTGGAGGATCTGGTGCGACCGGTGGCACTGGAGAAATTGAAGGCTCTGGCGACATCGAAGGTTCTGGATCGAGCGGCGAAGGACAGTTTACCTGCACCCAGGGTGGATTCTTCCCGCACGAAGACTGCAAAAAGTAAGTATTTCCAGGCTCGTTGACATTATGTCCCACAGACCACAGTTCTCCAACCCAAATACGTCATGCAACCCCTTGCTATAGGTGTGCGAAGGGTGACAGAGTTAGGCGGTGGTCCAATAATTAATTCAATTTGAAGGAACAAACGAAACGATCACGCACTAGAAAGCGCTTATAAGCGACCAACAACATAGTCGAAGAATACATTAGACGCCGTTCCGTTGTACACCTTGTTGCTTACATACACATACGATCTCTATAAAGATGAGTTACGTTTTTAATGAAGGCTTTCAACGGACAACCATCCCAGTGCCGCCAATGGCGGCACTGACCTTGCAGATTCATAGCTAACCGACCTCTTGAAGTGACTTCATAATCAGCCTTTGCAGGCGACTAACTATCGTCCCACCTCTCCCTCCGCCAGGTTCTACGAGTGCGTTGACTGGAACGGCGACGGTTCCCTGTTCGGCGTCTTCACCAAGGACTGTCCACCGGGAACCATGTTCGACGCCAACATGAACGAAGGCCTGGGCGGCTGCAACTTCCCCAACGCCATCGAGCCGCCGCCAGCCTGTCTCGAAGAGGCTGGAGCGGAAGGGGGCGCTGGAACCGGCGTAAGTGCAGGTACTGAGGGAAGTGCAGGAGCTGGAGGAGCTGCTGGAACTGAGGGAAATGCTGGAACCGGAGAAACCGGCAGCTCTGGCACCGGTGGCTCTGAGGTCGAAGGTTCTGGCGATCTTGAAGGCTCCGGTGAGACTGGTGGTACCGGAGAAGTTGAGGGCTCCGGAGAAATTATAGAGGGCTCTGGCGACGTTGAAGGCTCCGGCGACATCGAAGGCTCTGCATCGAGTGGCGAAGGACAGTTTACCTGCACCCAGGCTGGATTCTTCCCACATGAAGACTGCAGGAAGTAAGTAAAATGACAAAGCACGCCGCACGGTCTTTGCCCATCACGTTCTCAAGGCAACTCATGGTCATGCACACGAAGGTCATGCCTGTCTTGATTATGAGCTTACTTCTGCTGTACTGTTCATCATTGAAAAGACCTTCGATGATACTGGTATCCATTCCTTACCCGGTAACAAGCAGATATCTTATGCTAAAACCCTCTAATCATTATGCGGCATATACATGAGAGAGGTCGCAAGTGTTGTGCAGCATTGGCACGTTGTTACCTATACTTAATTTCCGCAGGTTCTACACTTGCGTGGACTGGTTCGGCGACGGCAGCTCCTTCACAGTTTACACGCAGGACTGCGCCCCGGGAACCATGTTCGATGCCAACATGAACGACGGGGACGGCGGCTGCAACTTCCCCGGTGCCATCGAGCCGCCGCCAGCCTGTCTAGGAGATGCTGGAGCGGAAGGAGGTGCTGGAACCGGCGGAAGTACTGGAACTGGAGGAAGCACTGGAACCGGAGGAAGTGCCGGGTCTGGAGGAAGTGCCGAGTCTGGAGGAAGTGCTGGTACCGGAGGATCCTCTGAAACTGAAGGGAGCGAAGGTGCCGGAGGAACTTCTGGAGCTGGAGGCAGCGCTGGAGCCGGTGGCTCTGAGGTCGAAGGCTCTGGCGATGTTGAGGGCTCCGGCGAGACCGGTGGCATTGGAGAAGTTGAGGGCTCCGGAGAAATTGAGGGCTCAGGGGACATCGAAGGCTCTGGGGACATCGAAGGTTCTGCATCGAGCCCCGAAGGACAGTTTACCTGTACCCAGGGTGGATTCTTCCCGCACGAAGACTGCAGAAAGTAAGTGTTTCCAGGCTCATTTACAGTGCAATCACACACTGATTTTAAGCCCAAATGTACCATTTTACCTACCTTTGATGTAGATTTGCTATTGGCGTAACAAACTTAGATAGTGATCAATACACTTTACCGATCAAACAAAAAGATGCCTAACGCACCACCGCAAAGGCTTAGACTGACATTACAGCCACGGTTATATATAAGACGCGGTTCCGTTCCAGATCAAGGTGATTGCGGACAGGTGACGGACGGACGGACTACATTATCGTTAACGAAGGGGTGACCTCGCAAGCGGCCTTTCCAGGCGACTGACCATCGTTGATCCTCCCCATGTCATTTTCTTCGAGTCAGGTTCTCTATCTAGCCGACTTCTTCAAGTGACTTCAATGAGTGTCCACAGCGATCAGCCTTTGCAGGCGACTGACCATCGTCCTCAACTCTCTCCCCTGTCAGGTTCTACGAGTGCGTTGACTGGAACGGCGACGGCTCCCTGTTCGGCGTCTTCACCAAGGACTGTCCGCCGGGAACCATGTTCGACGCCAACATGAACGACGGCCTGGGCGGCTGCAACTTCCCCAGTGCCATCGAGCCGCCGCCGGCCTGTCTGGACGGAGCCGAGGGCGCCGTGGAAGGATCGGGAGAGGAGGGCGAGGGAGGAACTGCTGGAGGAACTGGCGAAGGGTCTACTGGTGGATCTACAGGAACGGGTGGAGAATCAGCCACTGGAGGATCTACTGGAACGGGTGGAGAATCAGCCACTGAAGGATCTACTGGAACTGGCGGAGAGACAGCTACTGGTGGATCTTCCGGAACTGGCGGAGAGTCGACCACTGGAGGTTCTACTGGAACGGGTGGAGAATCAGCTACTGGCGGTTCTACAGGAACGGGTGGAGAATCAGCCACTGCAGGATCTACTGGAACTGGAGGATCTACCGGATCTGGCGGAGAGTCAGCTACTGGAGGATCTACAGGAACTGGTGGAGAATCAGCCACTGGAGGATCTACAGGAACTGGTGGAGAATCAGCCACTGGAGGATCTACAGGAACTGGTGGAGAGACGGCCACCGGCGGCTCTGGCGAATCTAGCAGTGGATCCGGCAGTGGATCTGGCAGCAGTTCCGGCGGCTCCGGCAGCTCTGAGGAGTTCTCTCTGACCTGCGGCCGCTCCGGCGCGCTGCGCCACCCGGTGTTCTGTAACCAGTTCTACCGGTGTGAGTGGAGCGGAAAGCTCTGGTCGTTCGTGGTCGGCGCGTGCTCCGACGACCAGATCTACGACGAACAGCAGCAGACCTGCGTCCAACGACGTGAGTAACGCCGCAGTAATGACAGATGGAAATGGATGGCATTTATTAGTTAGTTAGTTAATCAGAGTTGGAGGCCATTGCGTCGCGTAAGCTTGACGAATGTTTGATGAAGGCAACGACGACGCAAGGGATGTTCATCGCGTTTGACCTCAAAGAAAGGGTTTTTTATGGATACCTTTTTTGATACAAAAGTGGTTTCTTAGATTTTCCCTCGCCTTAACCCTCGCCGGCCGAGGGGGGGGGGCGGGTGCCGCCCCCCCATAGGGTTTTTTCGCGATAGCTCCGAACACGCTGGCGATAGAGAGCTGAAACTTGGCATACCTGACCTTTGATCCAAGCCGCATCCTTTGACACCAACTGCATTTTTGGGTCAGGTCAGGTCACTGACCTATGACGTCATAAGTGAACCTCTGCACGGTCTTCAGATGTCGCAACTTCGCAACGCCCTCACTGCCAGAGGAGATGTCACAGGGAAATGAAACTTGCAGGATCTAGTATCCATTATGAGTCTCACAACTTGTATATCTCGGATTTTTCCTAAAGGTCATATGAGGTCAGGTCATTTTCGTGACCTCACCATTATAAGTCAATGGGGAAAAATGAAAACTGCTATTCTGGCGCCGGGAACGATCTCCAACTATCTCAAGCACACAGAATCGTGATTTGATGCACTCCTTGCAAGGTTAGATGCGTCACTTTTGCAATGTTGACCTTGCGTGACGTCATTTATGACGTCATCAAGGTCATATTAGTTTTTCGTCAATAACTCTTGATCAAATTGAGCTAGCGAGTCGAGAAAGCCACCAATGGACTCAGGAAGACCTGCCGAATCGAATGATATGCGACATGACCCCTTTCGACCAACTTCGTGACCTGGGGGTGCTGACCTGACCTTGACCTGAGGTCAACACCCCAAGTTGACCTGACCCGGACAAAAAGTATATCATTCGACGCGCCTGAGCGAGGCGAACACGATGCTGCCAAAATCGCGGCTCTGCGGCCGTTTTTTGCGAAGTTATTCACCAAAAACTGAACCGTACCCTGGGGCACTTGACCTGACCTCAGAGGTCATCGGTTGACCTAGGACCTTAAAATCGGGTACCAATCTCTGCGTCTCGTAACGGCGCACACGCTCGTTTTTTCCGCGACGCGCTAGCTCCACCAGGGGCGAAACGGCGAGGGGGGGGTCGTACCCGCCCCCCCCCCCTCGGCCGGCGCGTATGTAGAAAACCAATAGGTCCGGCGAGGGTTAATGTTTATTTTACACAAAACAACCATTCGGTGTCATACCTGCACAAAAAAATCGCCCAAACCAAAACTGTCAGCCTGACCACCCTCTCTCCCTCTGTCCTTCGGCAGCGGCCGGGGAGACGTGTATGGCCATGGGTTTTGGCCTGCCGAGCGGAGACGGGGACGGCGCCCTGCCCGGCGGGGTGCTCCCCGACGGCACCTTCCCCGGCGGAGAACTGCCCGACGGCGTCGAGAGCGACGGTGAAGGCGTCGTTATCGACGGAGAGACGGTGCAGATCCCCGGCAGCTTTGCCAACGACGACACTGAGGTGAGTCCGCGATAGAGACCGGCTGAGAATCGGATAATTCGCGAGAGCTAGCACTGAGAGATACTGGCTGACATCGCATGGGTAGCTGACATGCTACGAGGAATGCTCCAGTAGACACAAGCTAAAGCTACATATTAGATGGTAAATTCTATTTTCAGTTGCTAAAATATTATTGTAAAATCTCTACACATACTTTGTCACCCAAAACGTGCCAATGCACATTGTGTTGAGCTATCCAAAACAGCATTGTCTGTTGTTTGTTTCCAGGACTTCACCTGCAGTGCGGAAGGATTCTTCGAGTTCCCGGGTGACTGCGCACACTTTTACCGCTGCGTGACGCTCGACTCCGGAGATCTCACCAGTGAGTACTCTGTAGTTGTGAGATCTTGAGCCGATGGGACCGACGCGACCTTACCTCAGCTACAAAGGAAAAGGCGGAGGATAGGCGAATGTGAGCTAGCTCTCGTCGAATTTGGACGAGTTCCTTCACGATTCATTGGTAGGTGTCTTCAAGGGAAGCCCTAGAGGACGGGAAATATACTAGTCACGATGGGAGAACGGTCCTTAGTCATTATTTATATCGCTGATTCTGACCTCAGCCGATGTTGAGATATAACACCTCGTCCCCAACATCCCTGACGCACCATTTGTGACCTGTTTCTGACAGATTTGTCCTCCCCCTCCCCCCCCCCAGCTCTTCTGTACAAGTGTCCCGAGCTGTACCAGCTGTGACCCGTGTCTGACAGTTGTATCCCCGCCCCCAGCTCTTCTGTACAAGTGTCCCGAGCGGTACGTGTACGACCCGAGCCAGCGACGCTGCGAGTCCGTCGCCCGGGCGCCCGCCTGCGTCACAGACTCCTCTGCGGTGCTCGAGCTCCGGACGCCCCTCTTCGTGCATCAACTCCAGGAGAGTCAGCTCAAATCGTTCTTCCGGCGCCCCGCCAACCCCCTGCTGAGGATCGGCGGCGGCAGCGACGACGGCATGCCCTACTACGAGATGAACGGCCTGCGCAGGGCCAGGGGCGCCTATTCTCCCTAACTTACTGCCACCTATCGGCATGACGCGGAACTATAGATTCCGTCTCGGGCCGCTGCCGTTTGCGGAGCTGCCGTCGTGAGGGGACCATTTAACGCCCTAAATTCGGGGCGGTATTTATTATTATTGATCTGAGTTGGCAAAGTGGGCATTTCGAGCATTTTTATATCGCGTACACGCTCGAATGGTGGCCGTTTGGCCGGGACATTTAACGCTATACTTGTGCCAACTCGTCGGTGTGTGGTAGGAAGTGTGGACGCCAACGCGTGAAATTCTCATGGACAAAATGCGGCATTAAAATACCTGACATGACGAACAGAAAGTGAGATGAGATTAGACCTATGTGCCGTTGGTAAAGTTCAATATTCGTGGCATTATTGACAATCACGATATTTTGATCCAGGTTATTATTCTTGTTAAGATTAGAGTCCCCACTGAGGTGGACCAGTTTGCTGAAGCTCGTGCGCCGGCGAAGTGTATAGGTATGTCTGTGTGTGTATTGTATGTGTGTGGCGGTCGGCCTATCTCCCCGTCCCGAGCCGCCGTCCACGCTGTGATGAGATGTGATGTGATTATATGTGACGGTAAGGGTGTATTCGCGGTCCGACGGCCATCCGCTAACCTTAGGTCGAGGTATCCCAGGTATACAGGGCATCAGCTGTGTGTGAGCGGGCTCACACACAGCCGAATAAAGGCGTGAAATGTGACAGCGACTTTGATGACAGCGGGGTGTCATCAACACTGGAGACACTTACTGTATGGTTACGGTGACGGATCATACAAGCAGCAAATTATTAAGATAGATAACTTGAGTCCTTTCCAAAGCGGGAAATAATTATGGATGGAAAGCACATCAGAAAAAACACTCTATTTTCTCTTTTTAAAAAGAGTGTTATGACCCAACACTACCAATTTGTAGCGCTGTCCTCCTTTAGCCCGTTTAGCGACTAACAAAACGCACAACTGTGGTTGGTATCGACAGCTTTCGGCGCACCAATATCATGACGCACGTGGGTAAATGTCGAGAACTTGCAGTCATCCAGCACATTTGACACTCGTACGAACTACAAAAGCGAGCGTGAAACTGCTAAGCTATCTACTATGTGCGAGGCGTTGCATGCAAGAAAGGAAGTATGATCTGCGCATGTCTTTCACGATGGCTCAACAATGAAAAAAGTTCGATAGTCTGGAGGTCTGAATATTGTATTTTTATAGCAGAAAAATAGCACATGACAATTTGAGTCCCCTTCCTATCACAACTCTTCACGTTAGCAAATCTCATAATTCGGATTATCCCTTCCCTCTGTCATTGCTTTCTGTGTTTTATCCACCTAATCAATGAGCTAAGATCCAGGAGTGAATCTAATTTCGTAAAAGCACTTATGTTAAGTGAGACATGTTCTCAGTTACTAAAATTCCTCAGGCACTTGATGAAATGATGTGAAAACAAAACACTGATCAATAACGAAAAAAGCACACAAAAAAAATCAAAAGGTACCCTGAGACTTCACAGCCATATTTCCACTTCGTAGTTACTCGCTCGTTTTTCCCCATATTCACTACACCCCGTAAATCACAGGACATTTGAGCGCACTAGCCACTACCAAAAGGACAGAAATTCCCCGTGCAAAAAAAAAAAAAACTGGGGCAACCACATCCGCAGTGGAGACAGGAAAAGCCGGGAGTAGCGCCGGCTGCAGTCCGCTGAATCACAGAACACCACTGGACAGGAGGGACCGGCTCAGCCTCACAGATGCACGGAGAGGCGCACGGATCGCGCGCCTGAGAGACGGGACGCTAGGGAACGCACCAGGGAGTAAACCACCGGTCTCCCAGTACAGCGAGACGGACTGTGCGTCCGGCTGTCTGGGACACGATACTCCAGTGGTTGAGATCACAGACTAGACGCAGGACAGGGGAGACCAAGACGGGAGAGAGGACATTGTGACGGATAGTGGGACGCAGGAATCTTATCACAAACTACCTACATATTTAGAATAACAACAATTCGCTCAGGCCTGCAGAGGGCCGACTCAAGCGACTAAGGACAGCATAGTAAAATACGACAACTAAAAAGCGAAAGTATGTCATAGAGGCAGAACTGGGACTATTAAACAATTTAGGAGAGCACTATTCACTAATCGAAGAAATTATGAAGCATCTAATATTAGATGTCTAAATACAACGCAAGATGATAGACGAGAAATGATAGACGAGAGACGAGAGACGATAGACGAGGGACGAGAGACGTTGTCAGAGTAGGGCCAACCTCTAGGTGACGCAGAATTTCCAGTTGGCCTCGTATAGGTCGCTGCGAATTTTGTCCGCGTCCAGCTCCCTGAAAAAAAAAAAAAACGGGGACACCATACGTCAGTGTGGTGGCGACGTGACAATGTCAGTATGGCGACGTCACAGGTCAGTGTGGTGACGTCACAATGCCAGCAAGTGATGTCACATGGCGATATGGTGACGTGGCAATGTCAACGAGGTGACATCACATGCTATAATAGTGAGGTGACGTCACAATGTCCGCAAGGTGACGTCATGTCAGCGAGTTGATGTCACATGACGGCATATTATGGTCTAACACAGAACATAAGGTGCAGGATTACACAACATGTCTAAAAAGGCAAAACTATATAGTTCTGTTTACTAGGCAAAATCTTGGATGGGTAAGTGTAGCGGACTTTTTGTTGTGTCATTATCTACCTTCCGCCAGCCTCCCACCATGGAACCGAGTCACTAATCCCTTCATTCCCTCCCTCCTCCATAACTCTCTCTCTCCCTCCCCTCTCACCTGTACTGCGGCTGCCAGCTCGTCACCACCTTGTCGTTCAGACTCCTCACGTCCGCCTCCATATAGTCGCGGAACTCGCGTTTGATCCGGTCGGCTAGTTTCGTCTGCTCCTTCTCTGCCAGGGCTAAGTCGTTCTTCTCCCGAGACAGCATCTGGGCGAGGTCTCGGAAATTGGCCTCGTAGAACTGGTGCATGCGGTTTAGCTCGGCCGTGTAGCCGTCCTGACCGTAGAACTCTCGGATGGCGCGCTTTTCGAAGGCGCGAACGGAGCGCAGCCGGTGCCGCTGGATCTCCAGCATCTCCTCAAACACGGCCTTCATCAGCTGCGGAGGGAGTGAGCGTCAGTTAGGATCCAGGCAGGATGTCAGGGCCTTCTGCAGCTGGATGACTGGGAGGGAGAGGAAGATGAGGGTGGAAAACGACGAGTCAGCAGAGACCATCTTTACCGTAAAGGCCGGATAATTCAAGGCTGCTGGCGGCCCTGTTGGCGCAGTCGGTTAAGGCGTCGACCCGCGGTGCGGACGGTGCCGGGTTTCGGGTTCGATTCCCGGTTCCGCCCGTTCCGCGGGCGTCGTCCCCGGCTGCGTCACCAGGTGTGGGGTAGGCTCCCACTTCAGCCGTAGCCTGGGGGGGGGGGGGGGGTGCGGGAACAAGGGCCAGGAGGAGGAGGAGCCCTCCTGTAATTGGGCCACAAATGCCCGTCGGAGGGAGGCCTGAATAAAAAAAAAAAACGTTGTGCCGCCTCAATAATCGTTTACTTGGTAAGTCTCAGCTCCTCCAAAAGAACCGAAACTAACGAAAGTAAGCGAAACTAAACGAAAAGAGTGAATGAGCGACCACTGAGTAAGTGAGTGAATGAGTGATACAATAAACGAGGGGAACGACGAGCGTCCGCAAGATATGAGTGTGTAAGCTCATCCAGACTCGTTCGTCCGTTTGCTCGCGATTGGGTGGGGAGGTTCACTTGTAACGCTGGTGCGTTTCATTTTCCCTCCCCAAATCAACCCGTTCCCAAATTCATCCTTCATAACAGCAGCGCGCCGGCGACCGGACACCGCTGACCCGCCGACCATCTGGCCGACACCGGACGGCAGGACAAACACGGATCTGAGACTGCGCCGCCAAACGCCATTATCCTGCGGCCCTTACAGAGCCGTCTCACCGCCGCTGACCGTGGAAGGGTCCAGCAATGGGTCCCAACCCCGGTCAGGGGGGGGGGGACGGACGAACAAGGGCACGCAGCCTCCTACGCGCGGCGAACGGACACCGTCAGCCTGGGAAACAGGACACGACAGCGCCGCTGCGGCAGCGGGAGGCCGGGGCGCCCGGGACCAAATTGACCACCGGTATCACACTTCAAAGGCAATTTCTTCAAAACACGGCTCGAAATAGCACATTTCCAGGATGTGCCGAGACTGGCGCCGACAATCAGCATCGTGAAACTGGGACAGAGTAACAACATCCAAATTCCAGCATGGCACGGCACATCCGCATTCCCGGGCCCATCTTCCCACGCTGGCAAACCTGGCCGGAGGCTACGAGGGGCAGAAGATTCAAATTCACCTATCGGCGCCAGAATATTTGAAGGGAGGAGGAGCACCCAGAGAGGATAGCAGTCACCATGGAAACGGCACGCCGGAGGCTGCACAGCGGAAAAACGCATACGTTTCGGCCCAACATAACGTTAAATTTAATAGGAATCTCACCCTTTCGGCAACCAGGCTCAGCAGAAAATACAGAAGACTAGTTAGACGGACAGAAGACCTGGAAAATTGGCCCTTACTGGAAATTCAGAGAGCAGCAGAACTCGGAAGAAAGAGGCGGAGCGAAGACAGCAACTCTAGAGACAGCCCGAGGCAGATGGAGCTCCAGCAAAACTTTTAGGATTTTGAGGATAGAGAGTCAGTTGGAGAGTCGGAGGCGTTGGGGACGCTGACAGGCGGCAGTTCAGTTGGAGTTGGAGAGCTGGGAAGTGGAGATCAGAGGTGGGCGAGACAGTCAGTTTGTAGCGGCAGGATGGAGAAGGACAGGCGATGGAGGGAGTGAGTTCGAGCGGAGAGGAGAGTTTGAGAGGAGGAGTCGGCGGTGATAGTTCTGGAGGAGGAGGATGGAGGACTGCCTGCCACTGGAGGACTCTGCGCCGCTCCGCCGTTCTGCCGCCCGCCACCACCGCTCCGCAGGCTGCCGCCAACTCTGCCACCCGTCCGTCGTCGCTGTGCCGCCCGCCCGCCGATAAATCTGCTACCAGCCGGCCGTCAGCCCTGTCGTCCACAGCCAACAGCTAAGCGGTAGGTCGGCACTGGAGGTCATGAAGCTGCTTTCCTATCACAATCCTTCCCCGATGTGCCCCGCCTGCTGCCCCGGCTTTTCTCTCGCCCGGGGATGTAATTTTATTTAGGCCCGTTTGGGGGGGGGGGGAAGTCTGTACGTATGCGTGAGCGTGGGAACTTGTTGTATGATTGGGTGGCATTGTGCCTTGATCCGGATATCAAAAATGGAAGTGGCTGGGACATGTTATGTACGTATGTGTGAGCGTGTAATTGTTGAATGAGTTAACGGCATTGCGCCTTGCTGTAGAGTATCAAAAAGGGGTGGTTGGGATATGTTTCATCTTTTCAATTAACAGACTTAAATTGGCAATCTTGTCTAAAGCGGGGTAGGACTGGTCTTGAATGTGTGCGTGCTGAGTGTAAATGTGAGCGCCCGGGCGCATCAGAGTGACGGACCATTGGGACGAATTTTGGCCTTCATTACGCGAAAGGCTGTAGAACTTTCTTCAAAATGCGTGTGATGCTCAGCTACGTTCGTCTCGGTTACTCCAGCCGGTTGTCTATTGTCTAATATTCAGTTGCAGACTCAAAGGACGGCACTTTATGCAGTAGCTATTTAGTTTAAAGTTGACATAGGTAATCTGGCACTCTGTTTTGGGGGATCGGCTCAGTTCACTATGGTTTATGGCTAGTTTAAGTCTAGTTTTGCTTATCTTTGAAAACTCTGTCGTTTCACTGCTAGTTTCTCTTCCTTCGTTTTGGCTGAATATATCTTGAAAAAGTACTCACATCTGTTGGGGCTATTTGGGAGGGAAACATGAATGGATTAACTTGACGAGATGAAAGTGCTGAAGGAGAGAACGAGAGAATTCGGACTTCGGAGAGAATGGGAGGGCCGAGCAGAACATCGTTTCTGACACCGCTCACACGTCGGCATGTTTTTTTTTTTCGGATCACAGGCACCGGTGGGAGGTCACACTACATCATACTGGGTTGTTGTTGTCCTCGTGGTTGTTATTTGATAGAGCTCTGATTCGAAACCGTCAAAGTAAACAGGCATTTGCGTCAGTAGTACTGTCAGGTTTTTTCGTAATTATGTGGCCGGATTTATTATTTAATTATTCAGCACGATTTAGTATTTATCACGATATTTTATTATTTAGCACGATGAGATTCAATTAATTTTGATGCAGTGCAAATCGACGTACGTTGCAGTATATACTCGATCGATTCAATGTCCGGTAAACATTGTTTATTTCTCACTATCTGCGAATTAGCGTAACGATAAGTTTTGAGCGTTTTAGCCCCAGAAACCCATGCGTAACTTCATTCAGTATGAAGCATAACTCAGTGCTGAACGACGAGTGTCTTCTAGGTTTCAGGGTTGGTAAATATGCGAAACAAAGCCCATAAGTCATTAACGACCAACAAATTTTCATTTCCGAAATTGTCATTTCCGGCGGGTTGAGTGCCCGAGCTCGAGCAAAAGCCAGTCAAATTTGACGTAAATTAATGTAAGCCCGAGATGAGCTTAGTGACTTGACGAATCTGTTGTGATTTGAATTATACTTTAATGGCCGGCATTTTTCCGCTCCACTTTCATTTCATTGAAATGTGACCTACATGTGAAATTAACATGCTCTACCTAGCAGTTAACGTTACCTGGTTTGTATTTCCGGCAATATACCCCATAATCGTCATTTGATTTCACGATTCTGATCGAGTGTGGCCAGAACGATTTTGCTAAGCTTAATTTTAAATTTGCACGAACGCCGCTCATTATCTCCGACAATTAACGACGATATCAATACCGTTTATAACCAATTTAAATGTCCCTGCCCGCGCCGTCTGGACCCATCAGCCGGCTGCGGCGGCCGACCCGGCTAATCCCCAGGAATGTGTGTGAAGGAGGGGGTGTCCCGCTCGTGGGGAGGGGTTACCTGGCGGCTGATCAGACGGTGACCCGCCGGCGGTGGGGGGCCGGCGCCGGTCGGAAGAAGCGGCCATCTTTGGGCACCCGGTCGGTCCCGGCCGCCGGTCCTGCGGCGGCTAGAGCAATTAACGCGTGCCACTGGCCGTCCAGCGCGGGTTCACAGGGAAACGGGGATGGGGCGCTAGGTCCGACGGCGGCACACGATCACTCGACGCGGTGGTAGAGCACCGACTGAAGACGGAGCATGGATGCGACGCGTGTAAGAATGTGATCTATCGACATTCCACCTTTCCTATCAGTCTTCTCCGAGTGATCGTTAATGCAGTCTCTGAGTGTCGGCCAGTCGCTCTGTCGGCTTGTCGGCCTGTCAGTTTGTCGGTTTGTCGTTCACGGTCTGATGGTCTGTTGGTACGTCGGTCTGTCAGTCAGTCTGTCTGTCTGTCTGTCTGTCTGTCTGTCTGTATGTCTTTCTCTCTTCTCTCTCTTCTCTCTCCCTCCCTTCTCCCTCTCTCCCTCTCACTTTCTTTCTCTCTCTCTCTCTCTCTCTCTCTCTCTCTCTCTCTCTCTCTCTCTCTCTCTCTCTCTCTCTCTCTCTCTCTCTCTCTCTCTCTCTCTCTCCCCCTCCCCCTCTCTCTCCCATTCATGGCCCCCAACACGCGTTTCATGTCGTCAGTCGGTAATCCGAGATTGTGTCGCCGGGTTTGCTGCGTATGTGACGTCACGGAGGAGGTGCTGTCTCGGGACGCGTGGGGAGGACGGGCCCCCAACCCGCGGGCGCGGCGACGCCCGGGCCGGACGGGCTCGGCCGCGCTAATGATCAGGGGATCGGCGGGTGACCCTCGCTGCTCGCACCGCGCCGGGGTGCAGGATGACAATGGCTCAGCCGAACCCCCAGTCAGAGGTGACCTGTGGTCCACTGAGAGCGGCTATCATTACCCGGACCGTCGAGTCATTAACAATTATACCCGGATTGACATAAACATTACGGATGGTTGAAATAGGGTCAGGCATCGCTTACAACTTCCAATTGTTTAAGTAGGACAATGTTTTTCTTTTACAAATGGTTTGAGTTAATGCTTTGTCAGAGTTACCTGGTTTGTCGAAATTAGAACACGGTCTTTTGTCGCACTAGAAAATGCTTATCGGTAAAACTGGAGGAAAGGAATTAAAATAAATCGTATCTAATTAAGAGGTACTATATTAGGGAATAATTCGGGGCTGCGAGGCCAGTCTATGCGTGTCGTACCCCCGTGTACGTTATGTTCATCGACACGGCTGTTTACACTTACGGGTGATGGGGAAACAGGGACGGGTATTTGTCTGGGTTGAAAGATTAAATGTGTAGTTATGATTGATCTGATGGCATTTGGGCCGAAGTTCATTTTAAACGTACAAATAGGATTATTGGTTAAAGCATCAGTGGTAAGGGGCTTAACGTTGGCGATTTAGAGGTGCTTAATTTTAGCGATTGGTTTGTTCCGGAACGGTAGATTAAAACAGCTAGGTTATAGAGGGAATACTGCTTTCTGAATAGGTTTGGTCGGAGAAAGATCTGGTGATTGGATCTAGTGATCTGGTGATCTGGAAACTGGTCTGATGCGGTAAATAAGTGGCAAGGGAAATAAGTAGGTATGGAGGTCGGTTCAGGGGAACCAGGTCATTGCAGGGTTACTGGAAGCATGTTGCAGTGGATGTAGGCACTATGGAAGTAGGCGCTGAGGAGATATTGGTTGGTGGTTTGCAGTTCAAAGGACGGTTCGACGCCGGGAGTGCGCGTATTCATGTTTGGAGGTATCGTTTTTTTAAGGGCTCGTATTTAAGGTTTCATTATCGGTCCGTTCAGTGGTGGTGATTCCGGGCGACGCGTGCAGCATGCTTTGTTCTTGTATGGTTGCTCTCGTTCGATGCCCCAGGCCGGTGGCACGTCGTAAGTCGGGCAAAATAAATAGCCGTGTCTTGGTCTCGGCTAAGATTCATATGATATATAAGTCCTGATAACTCAGGCGGGAAACCGGTGGGGTGCGACGGAGCATTCACGATGAGTGTACAGGCCGTCGCACCACCTGGCTTTGGGGAGGTGCCAGAACGGTGCCTTTCAGATCTTATATCTCCCCAATGACCAGTTCCGAGGGACACAGAAAGTGTTGCTCGATTACGGGAGGTTCTCATGCATGAATGTTCGATTCAGGGTGTGAGTTTTCCCCGGTATTGCGTGAGGGCACAGCGTCTCACGAACGTGGATTGTCGCGGAGAGAGCCACCGTACGGGATTGTTCACCCGTTCGTCAACATTTCGGCCGCCGGAGTGGTTCTAAAGCGAGGGTCGATCGGCATGGATCGGTATACCCCTCAGGCAGGAAGCATCCCACCCGCCTCTAACTCCCCACTCCGGTGATAAAAAGTTAGGATGTATCCGGCGTGTCCTGCGGAACGGAGTCCACCGCAGGAAACCGCTCACCAGCAGGTCACGAGAACGGAATTGGGTAGGACCTGGTCACGCTGCTAATTATTGCGCAGGTATAGCGCGGGAAGACATTCAGGGAGGTACAGGAAGGATATTGCGCCTGGAGGGCGCGGGAAACCGGCTTGAGTTCCGGGGCCGACCAGGTAACATTACATACCACGCGTGCGAACCATGTGAGTGCTGCGAACCGACACTGGCCACGTCGTGAACAGCCACGTAGCCATGGGCGCGCGTTGGTCATTTCGAGTAGGGTCTGCGACGGCAGTTTAGGGAGGGGACGGCCGGGATATCGGGGTCCAGGGAAGGGCGGTAACCCGAAGGCCGTGTAGACTGTAGAGGCTCGGGTGGCGTCCCGAGGGGGGGGGGGGAGACTAGCGTATCAGAAAGATGCAATATTATTGTCTCAAGATCCTGGAAGAGGGAGGGCTCCAGAAAGGTGCACTAAGTACTCCCTCCGGCCAGATGCGGGGTAGTGGCAGATAGGTCCGGCTGCTCCAAGACCCCTGGGCGGGAAGGGACCCGGGGGGTGTGGGAAGATGGAATACCCCACGGGCGTGGTTTGGCGCGGTAAGGGCACCACGGGGCGAAGTAGCTGAGTCGTCGTTAAATTTCGGCCACCCGGAGTGATTCGGAAGGAGGGTTGGACCCTCTACAAAGCAGGGAAATCCGGCCTGCATTAAAATCTCACTCCGGCAAAAAGGATAGGTTATGTCCCTCATAGAACCCACAGTGTAGTGTTACCTGCGGAACCTAACTGACAGTTTTATGACCCGGGGGATAGGTAGGGCACGGCCGCGCCACCGGCGACGTGCGGGTTAGGCCCATCACATGCCGGCACTAAGACGGCGGCGGCACTCGCTTACATTGTGCCGCCACGCACCCTTAGTCCGTCTCGCGTCGGTCATGTGACTGTGGCGTTTGATGTTAGGGTTTTAGGCCTCCGCAGGCGTGTGCACTGGTCAGTGACGGAGACGGGGATGACCAGCCAAGACGGATGATGCCGTGTGCGTCAAACATATGCCACCACTGAACGAGACATTTATTAGATTCATTGGTTTGGCAGTGGAAGCTATGGGATTTTAAGGACTTTTTTTGGGGGGAAGGATTTTAAACGCTCGGCGAGATGTAATTGTGTTGCAGTGACCTGAATGGTTTCGGGACCTGTTTTTTTTTTTTTGTCATCTTTGGCGATGTCATGGGTTTAACACTTAGTGTGCTTACATTTAACGAGCTTCTGTACACCACTGGGGGAAGTTAGGAAAATAGGGAGGGATCAGACTGGAAATCTGACATTTTATCTGTATGCAAGGGATGTGAATGGGTGAAGGATGATTGTATGGAAGCATGAATGGGTTATATCCAGTGGGAGATATCCGCCTCCGTGCAGTTGCCGTAATGTCAAGCGTGTTCTGATGTTACACCGTAAAAAATATGTTTAATAGGGGGGGGGGGGTCCCAACCGGGTTGAGAGAGAGCCTCGGGCAGCCAACCTGAGTAAATTATCCTCTTTGAATGCCCATAACCCAATGACCCATCACCGTACAGTTGTAGCAGCCTATATGCCCCAGTGACTGACCAGCCTCGCAAAACAACAAACAAATAATTATCTTGCAGCTGGGCCCCGCTACACACTCACCAGCTCCTCCCGGCTCCTGTTGAGCGCAGAGCGCGACTCGAACTGCTGTTTGAACGAGTCGACGAACCGCTGAGCGCGCAGACACGATATCTTGGCGTCCCGCGGCGCGTTCCTGATGGAGGAGAGGACGGCAGTTAGAGACGGCCAGAGAGCGGTGCGCGGAGGAATATAAAAAACTGACAGATATTTCGAGAAGAGGCTCTGGTCAGATGAGAGCCAAATTATACGGGAAGGGACGACTTACGTAGAGGTAAGACGAACAAAGAGGATCAGGGTATGAGCATGTCAGCGATATACGAATCAACACTGCTAACCAGCAATATGGTCCATCATCTTGTGTGTGATTCAGAGACCACTCGTCGCCTGTGATCGACGACCCACCTGCGTTTGATGGCCTGTAGCCGGGCGGTGCGGAGTCTCCGGAAGCGCTGGTCGTGCTCCCGCTGCTGCCGGATGATGTCCGTCAGCAGCGCCTGACGCTGCAGCACGTCCTGACGCTGTGGAAGGAGGGAGAAGAACAGTCAACACTCAACATACGCTACAGCATATCCTGACGCTGCCGGATGAGAATAATTACAGTCAACATACGCTGCAGCATGTCCTGACGCTGTCAAAGGACATAACGTCAGCAGGAACCACAGGAGGTAGATTTAGCGTCAGCAGGAGCCACAGACAGGGGGATTGCAGGGTGGCGTCTGCCCAGACGTCCACGTAAGCGGCTGCCGGGGGAGGAGGAACTTAAGTTCATTTCACTGCATATGCCGCCGATTACGAGGGAGATAGAAGTATTAAGCACGAGTGCTGCTGTGTCAATATGACTATGACGATGACGATGTTGTTGGTAGTCGATGCAGACACTAGTGAATAATATGATAATGATGGCATTTATTGTGGTTGTAAGGCGCCTGGTTTGGAAAGGGCATTGGCGTCCAATGTGCTACTGGCAAGCGTCAATGTCCTAATTACGTCTGGACGGCGTTTAAACTCAGTTTTAGTTGCCTTGTCCCCGCTCACCTTCAGTTTGAAGTACCTTGTCCCAAATTTACCATCAGTGTGTAGTGTCTGGTCTTACATTTAGTTTCAATAAGCATTGTCTGATCTCTAGTTACCTTCGTTCGGTGTGTATTGTCTGGTCTTTCTTTACCTTCAAGTGTGTAGTGTCTGGCCCTCACTCACCTTCAGTTTGTAGTGTCTGGTCCTCACTCACCTTGAGTTTGTAGTGTCGGGTCTCTGTGGGCTCGACCAGGTGCATGATGTACCTCATCTGCTGGCGGTACTGGGTCAGCAGCTTCCGCTTGGTCTCCTCCGAGACCCGCACGTACGGAAACTCACGGCGCAGAAATTCAAACACGTCCGTCTCTGCCGGCCAGAGAGAGGAAACAGAGTGTGACAGGCATGGATCAGAGTGTAAAGGGCGACACAAGTAAAAAACATACGAAACGGTGAAGATGGAGAGAGGGGAGATGAACGAACATAATGAACACGAATGACAGGAAGAGCAATATCTGGCAGGTACGGATTGGACGTCTAGTTTCCTTTTAGCTCTGTATTTTGTTACGCAGCGTAGAATGATCCCACACTAGCTGCTCGTATTGGTGCAGAAAGTCGGACACTCAGCTGTTCCGCAACCACATTCGACGGCCTTCATCCCAGCTCACTTATCCTAGACAATCAGCCTGACGTCCAGTCAGCCCTTTCCCTCCTTACGCTGTCCTTCCACTTGGAGGTAGGTCCCATCAGTCTGCGACTCCAGCCAGTTGCCCCCTCCCCTTTCCTAGCCCCTTTCCCTCTCCCTCCTTACCCTCTCCCTCCACCTTGAGGTAGGTCTCGTCGGCCTGCGACTCCAGCTAGTTGCTGGAGTCTCCAGCCCCTTTCCTCCCCTCCTTACCCTCTCCCTCCACCTTGAGGTAGGTCTCGTCGGCCTGCGACTCCAGCCATCTCAGCACGCCGTCACTGCATATGGAGCGGCGGGACGACTGCTTGCTCAGGAACGACACTGAAACACAGACAGGACACCCGGTAAGCTTAGGAGACTATCATCACGACATCACGGGATCAAGCGACGGCACTAAGGCATCATAAGGGACGGCCCAACCAGACGCAGCATCACCGCGCCACGGGTTGCTGAGGCCACTGTTAAGGCTATGGGCCACAACACTGGTAACACTCTGGTATACAGATACAGGTTCAATATCAAAAGTTGGAAAGTGTCCCCGGCGTGGCCAGCAATCTAGGAAGGAGCAGCAGTCACCACAGTAAACATTAATATATTTATATCATCGACATGCCCTCTCTCCCTCTCCCCACTCACTCAGCCTGGAGTTGGGTGTGGGCGCACTGCGCACCTTCCTCCCATGCTCTCTCCTCTCCCTCCCTCTCTCCCCACTCACTCAGCCTGGAGTTTGGTGTGGGCGCACTGCGCACCTTCCTCCCATGCTCTCTCCCCTCCCTCCCTCCCTCTCTCCCACTTACTGAGTCTGGAGTTGGGTGTGGGCGCGCTGCGCACCTTCCTCCCATGCTCTCCCTCCCCTCCCTCCCTCTCTCCCCACTCACTGAGCCTGGAGTTGGGTGTCGGGGCGCTGCGCACCTTCCTCCGCACCTCCCGCTGTACGGTTTCCTTGCAGAGTTTGTCGCCGGCCTGCTCCCGCGTGGTGCGGGTCACCGCACGCTCGCCGCCCGACTCGTGGATCTAACGGCAGAGAGAAAGGCGATCAGGCGTGCGGGAGAGGGTCAAGGATGGCCAGACACACAGAAGACAGAGGTAAGGAGAGACACAAAGGAAAAATAAAAAAGGAGTGCAATGAAAGATTACTGAAAGAAACGTAGAAAACCAACATAACGCTCGGCACGTATGGCAGAAGGAACAAGGGTCTGACAGGCGCAAAGAAACACGAGAAAGAGTAATGCTCGTGGACACACAGAGCCGAGAATGCAATATCACCCATATTCAAGGTGTCCACGTCAAAAGTGTACTGTAGCGGGCTACATCTTTTCTATTAGTTTACTATTAGCTGTAAACTTTAAATCCTGGCACGACCGACTACTGCCCGATCCGGACACGCTGGCCGCGTTCCGTAGAGACCCTTTCCTTTGTTTTCCCGTGTCCCACGTCCCTATCGACACCGGCCGCCCATAATTTAGAAAGGACAGCAGCACAGAGCGAGGTAACGCGGAAGAAAGAGACGCGGTGACCTAGCGGGTCACCGTTCGTTACGGACGTCGTCACTTGAGGGCAGCACCAACCGGAAGGGAATATGATAAAGCCATGCAAGAATGCAGTTATGCAAAAAAAAAATCGACTCAATACTGGACGTTGCACAAAGCTGCAGTTCAGATCAACTTGATCACCAAGCAATCCGAAAGTCGCAACAGTTTTATCGCCTGACCCCACCATATAGCATTCCAGCAACGACCAGTGCAACAAGGACGTTTTTGGAATATAGACTGTCTTAATATATCCAGAGGAAGTCATTGCGCTAGCAGCTCGTGAGCTCGAAAAGCAAGTCCTTGTGGCGGAGGAGCATCTGAACAAGAGGTACAGTGGATCTAGTAAGGATCTCCAGACGCAACTAGATGGCGTTGAGCCTCAGTCGAGTCCATGTGAGATTCAAGGAGAGGTCACTACCGAGCTGAGCCCGTTGGGGAGGTGGGCGGAGGGGGGGGGGGGGGGCGGTTGGCGAGGTCACGGTGCGGGTGACCTGTCAAACAGCCCCGGCGCGGTGGGGCACTGCCGCAGGCAAATGGCGCACTCCAGCGTTGTTCCATATCGCGGTGGTGGACCGGGCGGCCGGTTAGCTTGGCAGTTGGCTGCTTGGACGGAAAGGATAATGAGGCATGGGCTTGCTGTGGCCGGCTCTGTCAAGTCAACTATGGTGAACCCAAAGTAATGCAAATGTGATGTTGGTAATGCAGCTGGCAATGGAATGCAAGCGAATGCTCCGGGCGCCCAGTAGCTATAAGGATTAAGATTATTTATGTCTCCTGAAATGTTCATTGAATATAATTCAAGCAATAGAAAGATCGTATCGTTCGCCAGTTTTTTGACCGGCTGGTGTTTCATGCGTAGAACGCCCTTTGGCAAATAGGTAATTATCACGCAGGTGATTTTTTTTTTTTTGGCTGGTAAGACAAAAGGTCAAATCAAGTCGCTAAGAGAAGATGAGGAAAAGTGAACGACGCCACATTTTTGTGCATGAAGTCTGGAGCTAAAAAGCTAAAAGTTATTATACGTGTAAGCTAAAAACAATAAGATCAGTTAATAAAAATACTTGACCCGAAATTAGCCTCTGTTTTGTCTGACCACGATTGCGTGTAAGACACCGGTCCAACCGGGTTCAACCCGGCCCAACCTGGTTCGGCTCCCCCTTTTTTTAATATAAATTTGGCCCGGGCCTTTTGAAAGAAAGGAATTACAAGGACAAAGTCCCCGCTAAGCTGAGCTTGTTGCGTTGACCCTGCTCTCTACCCTCCGATCAAGCAATTCCTGGTCTATGGCAGAATTTAGAGTCCAAATTTTAACGTGCGCACATAGCCGCGCACGGCCGGTCCCCTCACTGACTTCGCCTGGCAGCGGCCTGCCACCAACCACAGCCATACCCGTCAAGAGCCGCTCAAAAACGTCAAGCACACGCCGCGTTTCGAACCCGGACTTTTTCAACCGGGACGTGCGCTCTCACCATATGGCACATGGAGTCCAACGCTCTACCGACCGAGCTACCGGGACGGACATTAACCTTGGGGTTTCGCCTCGTGACATTGACAGACGTCAGACACCTTGGCCGAACTTTAGCCGAAACACTGAGTAAGCTGCGCAGGGCGATAGGTGCTCGTAGCGTTGAGGTTGGGTAACCTGTGAGCTGAATGCGATGTCGTGAGTTCGAGCCCCACTCCCGGGTCCGTTTTTATCTAGACACGAACCAAAACCTTTCCTTCTATTGCAACACAGATAAGCACGATGACATGTTTCCCCAATATCTTTCCCCGTTATCCTCTCCAAAAGTCAAAATTATCGCTTATCAATGTTCAGCTAAGTTTCATTTTTAAAGAAAAATATTTTTGGTCATTTGTCTGGAGCCGTTTCAACATTTTTCTTTTATGCTTCTTTTCGACCCGATAAAACCCACCAAAACTGAACGTGCCAAATGAAAAATATCTAACTCAAATAACAGTTTGGAAAAGCCTCATCATGCATCATGAAAAGCATCATGCAACTATCGACTGAACAGTTGCATGCTATGAATACGTCCCAGATTTCAATTATCATTGTTCAACATTTTGGCTGGAACTGACGGTGCCTCTGGCTTGCCCGTTTGTTTGAGATAATGATTCCCTTCAGTCGCATTCTTGCCGGTTCCACATGAACAGGATACCACCATACCGGAGTGAACGCACCCGCAACCATCATCCCCTCCCCTCAGCCTCGGCGCAGTGGCGGGCGGCGCGGCCCTGCCCGGCGCTACGCACGCCCCATATACCGCGTCACTCCCCCTCCCTCCTTCCCCCACAATGACCGGTGACCTCACTTCCCTCGGGATTTGGACTCGCCCTACCCCGACCGTAGCGCCACGTGGTGGCTCTGGAGATCTTAAATAGACCCACTGTACAGCACCTAGAGTACGAGTGAGTGAGCAAGTGTAACGGAAACTAGAGACAACATTACCAAGGGATAATTCGTTGCGGGCTGCCTACTATAAACAAGCATTTCGATTTCAAGCCGCTTTATCAGGAACAAGCGCAGATCAACAATAACGGGCATCGTTCGCCGATGAAGACTGGAACCGAAGAATTGTGCCATCTTATGCCTATTTAAATGTTTTCACATTCAGTGCAACCGTATTTTGGAGAGGCCGTTGCAAATGCAAAACCGAGCACACCCTCAAACCACCGCAGTAAGAAGACAAAGAAGTGCACCTGAATCGGAGCCAGCACCCGGAACCATGTCAGGAGAGGGCGACGCCACCCCGACCCAACTATAAAAAAGGGACCGCTTTACTTCGGGATCAGTTAGACCGGAGCAGTCAGACCGAGACAGTGAGACCGGGACGGGAGGACCGAGTCAGTGGGACCGCCGCAGTCGCGTCGGGATCACCGCGCCCGAGAAGCCATGCCGCCGGGAGACGGGCCAGTTCAGCCGCATCGCTGCAATCGTTCTGCTCCAGTTCTCTGCTAGTGCCTCGAGTGATGGAGACGCAGGACAGCAGCCGTCGACGAGAAAGGACGCAAGTGCAACTGCCGAGGTTGACGTCACACTCCAGCTGCTAATGTGAGTGTTCAATCTGAATGTTCGAAAGTCTGCTCTTCCTGATCCTATATCCCCCCCCCCTGGTTCACGCCTTGCCCGATCTCTCCAATGGTCGTTGCCAAGCTAATAGCAAATTGCTTTGATTTATACAATATAGGTATTATACAATATAGGTCCAGACAATTCTAGTTGTGGTCTCCACTCTCCGCGATCGCCAGAAATTATTGGTGCAAAGCTGTATTGCGGTTTTGTTCTTAGGGTCTTACTACCGGCTAAGCTGCGTTATAGGTGATCGAGGTTTAGCTAAAAATTCACGAGTGCGTATATGTCATTGTCAGGATCTCCAGCTTACCATTTGCAGACTAGGATTACAATGGGATTCTCAGTGTGTTTACGAGTATGTTCATTCAACAGTGACGTTCAGTTGGGTTTATGAGAGGAGTTCAAGGCGTGGTTTCAGTCTCTTTTACAGTGATGTGAGCTGGTAAGGCTGCGCCACATAGCGGGTTAATAATGAAGCTGTTAGTTTCTGTGCGAACCTGTCAAAGACAAAGTTAACAAATTACCCAGTTAGGCATAAGTCATATATTATTGGTATTCTGTTGAATTAGCTTCTTGACTTGGAACATGAATTAGACTGTATTTAAATTCAACGTGTTTAATTTAGAATACACACTAAAGCTATGAAACGTTCTGTTGTGGGCATAGTGGGAAGGATCGAGCTCTTACAAATTTGGAAACGGGTGATTAGCCACAAGGTCAATAAGATCATCCGTCGAGATGTCATCAACGCTTTTCCACTCTGGTGTTTCGTGGAGTTCACACTACAGTATAGAGTTTTACATTAGATTTACACACACACCGAATACGAAGAGTATATACATATAGAAGAAGCACACGGTATCTGATCGACCTTGGTCCAGCTGTTAATTCCGACGGGTGAAGCGGCGCGGCGGTGGGCCGCCCAGGTTTATGAGCTGGACTGCAAATTCAGGTCAGAATTCAGCTGTTAACCCGCGCCCCGCTGGGCTATTCAGCCATACGCGCCCTGCTGGGGGGGGGGGGGGCAGATTCTGCCCCCCCTGTCTAACTTCCGAACCGATGGTCGTAGAAAGACGGGGAAAACGGCAATCGAAAGCTCTCAACAAGGCGGATCTTAAGAGCCCAAATTTTTTTGCTTAAGTAGGTCAGAGGTCAGGTCAAGGTCAGGTCAAGGGTACAAAATGCAAGTTTCTACAGTATCGGCCTTGCACCGTAGTTGCCGAAGAATGGACTGAGACTGATTGCCCAAAACGTGTTCTTAGACTACCAAGACAATATTCGTTGCATACACTGTCATTCAAAGGTCAAGGTCAAGGTCAGGTCAGGTCAGGTCAGGTCACCAAAAACAAAATATAGAAAAGGGCATGTGCGACACATGTTTAATGGGTCATTTTACTCATAGAATTCAATAGGCACACTCAATAAGTGATATGGACCACCTCTGGATAAATTTCAGATCGAGGTCAGGTCAAGGTCAGGTCAAGTGAGGTCAAATTTTGAAGTTGGTTGTTAAGGTCTAAAAAGGTGTCTATCTGATGCAGATTTTCACGGCGAATCGAATGGTGCTACTTTTGTTCCCGTACGAGGTCTCGAAATTCCAAAAAAAGTCATTTTTCAAAAAGTTTATTTGTCGTTACGTCATAAAATTTTGAATAACTCCTACATTTTTTAACCGATTCTTCTAAAAATTGGTATGTAGGTGCACAAAGACCACTTCTCTGACATATATTCCGGTTTTTTCGATACACTCAAAATTTTGGATTTTATAATTATTTTTCCAAAAAAGTCAGTTTTTTGAAAAAAAAAATTGGGCCAAAATCCAAAATTTTCAAAAAACCGAGATAGCCATTTGATAGACAAAGAGGAATCACGTATAACCTTTTTTGTTACGCCTTAATTCGTTCAAAAATGAAGATGTTAGCGGCGTTTGAAATTTTGCCGTTTTTGAAGCGAAAATGGCGAACATGACGTCACTAAAACGTCAATTTCTCAAAAAATTTCCGACGGATTTCGCTCAAATTTTCAGGGAACGTGTCAAATTGATGTATGATAAGGTACTGAAAGTTTGACGTCGCTGGCGTAACGCGTTTAGAAGTTATTGGCGAAAAACGGGAGGGGGGGCAGATTCTGCCCCCCCCCCCCAGCGGGGCGCGGGTTAAGGAATTCAATTACTCGAGGCATGCAATTTTGGAACTAACGTGGTAATTTGTTCAAAGATGTTGGGTCATCATAATGTCACTAGGTCGTCGTAATGTCGCGGTATTATCGAGCATAGCCATCAAATGACGTTTATCTTGGGCAGTCCGGGCGTACTGTTTGCATCACTAGTCGCGGGACAGAGCTGGCGGCGGACAGGACGGTCCGTCGGTTCTCGGTCGTAATTTATGGGAGATTTATTGACGCAGAATATTTCAGACCAGGTAAACAATATCAGTGAAATTGTTGGGGCGAACCTGAATACTCGTGATTTTGTGGTTGCTGGTGGCAAGTATTTCACCCGACACAGATTGACGAAAATTTGATGGCTCAAGAGGATACATTTGATCTTTCTATCTGTCATATTCGAGTGGCTATAAGGTATATTGCAAGCTGACTATCTTAGATCAATAAGCCGGAGTCTAAATGAGGAGAGGGTTTGTTTGCCCGGCTCTTATGTCGGAATGTTGACTAACATGACTTAGACACAGAACTTCCTGAGAAATTCGTCCAGACCGGTAATGTAAGGTAAGGAGCACATCGTCTTTAGCAGAGCTATTCACGTTACCCACCGTGGCGATACCGCGGTTGTCGTTGGTTTCCCGCAGGATTATTTAGTGGGCAAAGGTAGGCAGGCTCAGAGGCATGAAACGGCGGATCCCAGCGGAAGTCAAGGATTCATCAGGAATGGTGGAGTGCTGGGTCACTGGTAAGTCATCCACAGGTGGTGCAGGAAGCCGTACGTTCCAGGAAGACATCATACTTAACTGCATCTTGATCATCGGCATGAGCCAGGAGTTTCCGGCCACATCCGGTGATGGACAGCCTCTGGGGGACCGGGAGAGTCCCCCCTCGGAGTTCGTGAGTCCTGGTAACGTAAGACCCACGGAACCAGATGAGTTCCAGGCAGATAGTTCCAGGACGTGGATACGTGAACTATGGTCCCAAGACGTGAACGGTAAGTTCCAGGACGTGGACCGGAGGGAGCGCGAGGCCTAGCGCTCTCTCAAAAGGGAAACCAGCCGGATGTAATTCGCGAATTCGCATCATAAGTCTATTGGACGTGTTGTGGATCCGACTAAATTATAAAGGTGAAGAATTACCTGCATGCAATACTGGACAGCCCTGTGGCCTGGCCACCGGTTAGCGGGAGCACACATGGATTCATAAGAGAGACATTTATCTCGCCGGGGAGGTTATTGTTGCCAGACACCTAACACTATCGGAGGGATTTCGAGGGGCACTAAATAAATTTTGGTGAATAAATGAAGAGCGCTTGTGTGTGAGAATGTGAGTGCGTATGATAAAAGAATGAATCTTAGATTAAGGCCGATAGGAGTTAAGTGCAGCTCGGTTAGGACAGTCACGCCAATGATTCTCGAGGGCACTTAAATTCAGCTACGCTAATACGATATAAGTGGGCAAATTTGAAAAGGGTAGAGTAGACCAGTGATGATGAATTGGTGACTGGACTAATGACCATCCAGTAAATCAAGTTAAACGCCAACAAATGGCTTGGCAGTGATCATTACGACCCCAACTGCCTTATCCAGCCCTTTTCTCACTGTGTTGATTACCCACGGGCTGGAGCCCGTCCATCCTGCCCGAGCAGTGAAGTTACCGAGTCGACGTCTATACAATGCGATGGATGATCAAGCCTCAAAATGAAAGCATCTCCCATCAGATGCATTTGTATGCCGGGTGGGCTTCTAGAAATCAACTTTACTTACGCACACACTTCCAGTCTCCAACAGCACAATCCCAGCGCTTCACATTGGCACCGAACTACCCACTGTAACAGACCCCTCAAGAAAGTCCCCCCCCCCCCGGAAAACAACGCCACCCCCACTCCACCGCACCCCTGTTCAGCCCCCCGCGCTACAGTACCCAGACTTTTCTCCATATCTTATCTTAAAAACATCACACTCACGAACAATTGCCCTCGTTTGAGAGCCAAGGCAATGGCAAAACATTTGCTATGCTTTTCAACTGTGCTCGGCACTCTGCTGACCAGCGCGTGCCGTCTAGAGCAACTGCTCTATATGAGCCCCTTTGCGTCGGGCCACCGCCGGCAGACTGGAGTCTGGAGGTGGGTGATCGCCTGGTCAACCATGTGGGAAGGAAGGCGACGGATCTCGTCGCTGATGGCGTCTTTCAGCTCCTGGGTCGACCCTGGATTGCCAGTGTATGCACAGTCCTTGAGAAAGCCCCACAAGAAGAAATCTAGAGGGCTGAGGTCGGGCGAGTGGGGAGCCCATTCCACCGCGCTTTTCAAGCTGATGTGGCGGTCAGGAAAGTGCTCCTCCAGGAATTCCAGCGACCGTTTGGCGGTGTGAGGCGGCGCCCCGTCCTGTTGAAACCATTCTTCATGGCGACGGATCCCGCGTCTCCGCTTCAGCTCTCGCCAGAATGGTTCCAGTGCGTCCGAGACATAGCGTTCTAGCGTTACGGTGTTGTGTTTGTCTCTCCCCTGTCGTCTTCGAAAAAGAAGGGGCCGATAAGGCCCCCTCCACGCCTTATTGCCACCCAAACCGATACTTTCTTGCTGTGCAGAGGCATGGACGTCTGAACTTTTTCTAGGCAATGGGATCCCCAGTGCACGGGGCATTGTGGGATTTCACATGCCACGGTCCGTCTGCCGGCGGTGGCCCGACGCAAAGCGGCTCATATAGAGCAGTTGCTCTAGACGGCACGCGCTGGTCAGCAGGGTGCCGAACACAGTTGAAAAGCATAGCAAATGTTTTGCCATTGCCTTGGCTCTCAAACGAGGGCAATTGTTCGTGAGTGTGATGTTTTTAAGATAAAATACGGGGAAAAGTCTGGGTACACTTTTGACGTGGACACCCGGTACTTCTTTCGTCAGTCCTGTAACTAGGTAGTAAACAATGTAAGATACATGACACAAAAGGGGCCGGCAAGATAACCGCAGGTTGTTTCTTCATTAGACAAACGCTATTCGTTAAAATTGTGTTTTTCTATTGAAAAACAACCGGAGCAGTCCTTCACCGGGCTATGTTTAAAACAAGAGATAATGGGGAAACGGAAAGGACGTATGGCCGTCAACATTCCCCCCCCCCCTCCCTCGCTCGTTCCCTCGTTACCTCAGCGATGGTCTCTATGTTCCTGGTGAGCAGCCTCCTACAGAGAGGCCGCCGTCCGTTCACGCCCGGGTCGCTGACGGAGCTGCGGTCACTGGAGCGACAGCGGCGCGCCGCCACGGCCGCCCCGCACGGAGCGCTGCGGCCGCCGCGAGCCCGGCCCGCCGTGGTGTCAGATGAAGTGCCCGGCTGGCGGAGGGAGGGGGGAGTGGGGTCAGAGATCAGCAGGTGTCAGGGATGAAAGAACAAACGTCTAAGTAAGGGATCAGATGACAGGGGTCATGGTAAGAGGCAAGAGACAAAAACAGAAGTTGAAGCAGCGGTGGACAATTATTGTGCGGATTGGAGCTGCACGAGCCTTCCAAATTCCACGCCGGCTTGGCTTTGGAGCCGCAACAAATGGCGGAGGACAAGGTCGCCGCTAGGGCGGCGGCGAATTTGCTGCGCCTGTGAATATCCCAACTCGGCATAATCGTCCACCGCTGAATTGAAGGGCAGATAGATACTACACCAATCAACAGTCGTATTCAATCAGCACAAAAAGCGATGCAGACAATTATTAGCACTACAAATGAAGTTTTAAGCTTAGACTTACAAAACATATGGTTTAGGCATATAGTTAGGAAGACAGCTGTGACACCCAGCCGTGTCATTACTCACCGATGACTTCTTTCGCTCCTTCTTTTCCGCACCGCTGCTGGTCTGAAAAAATAAGTAAATTTCATTACAGTTGACGACAATTAAGAATAACTGGGACATACAGAGTACTGACACTGCATCACCTCTTGTTGGAGGGTCGTGAATGCTACAGAACAGGAAACCTTAGTAAAATCGATAGAAAAGTAACATTTTGTATGAGTTGAGCGCATTTAATGCATGCATAGTGAGTCCGTAGCCATCTTTGGGTGGCCCAGTCATTGTCCTGTGGATAGGCAGTGCTCCTCTGTCACCGGCTCAGTCGTAATAACCTGATCTAGCGACTTAACAGCCTACTTCTGCGGCCCAGGCGTAATCTGTCTCGTTGAATCACAGCTCTTATTACAGGCAGCCTCAAAATAGCCGCTATTTTGGGGACTCATTTTTTATCACATGTTCCAGCAGTGCACAGCTCGCCTCTTCATGGTCTTTATTTACGTGTTCGGGTCCCGAGCCTGTAACTTCTTCTTCTTCTTCTTCTGCATCCCGCCGCCAGCCCGCTCAGGGGGGCGGCGGCGCAGGCGGGTCGAGCGGCGGCTCGGTCCGCCCGACACCCTCGATGAAGTCGACGACCCTCGCCGCCGGGCCGCCGAGGACGTCGACCAGGCGAGGGTCGACACCCCAGCGGCGGCGGCGGGCCGCCTCATAGGCCGGACAATCGATCAGCAGGTGCGTCACGCTGTCGGGCTCCCCGCACGCGGGGCATTCGTCGTTGGCTGCTAGGCCAATCTTGTAGAGCGTGTCGCGCGTCAGCGGTGATGTGCCGGTCCTCAGCTGGGACAGCGTCACCGACCCCCAGCGCGCCAGGGAGTCGTGGCCAGGCGTGGGGTCCGGGTGCGGGTGGGCAGCGGTCGTCCTCCGTCGCGACAGCTCTCGGACATGGCGCGTGACGGCGGCCCGCGCACTCGATAGGTCAATCGGTGCGCTATCTTGGTCGCCCGCCGCGGCCTCGCCAGCCAGGCGGTCGGCGGTCTCGTTGCCGTCCAGCCCGGCATGGCCTGGCACCCACTGGAGCACCGTCTCGGTGCCGTTCTCGGCGAGGGTGTTCAGCAGCCTCCAGACCTCGGCGGCCAGAGCCATGGTCTGGCTAGCTGGGCCGCGGCCGAGTAGTTGTAGTCCAGACCTTGAGTCGGTGAGGAGGCGGACCGACTTGATTGATGCCAGCTCCCCTTCCCCCAGGCCGGCCACAGCCGCGAGCGCCTCGCGCATGGCGGTCAGCTCTGCTCTCAAGCTGGAGCAGACCGCCCCTGCAGGAGCGCGCACGGTTTCTTCATTGTTGAGGTGGTGAAACTGGATCAGCGCGCCTGCGCCGCCCTGTTCCATCCCGCCGCGAGCCGAGCCGTCCGACCAGATAGTAATATCCGGTTGCGGGAGCTCTGCAATGGCTCGCAGGGCAGCTTCCCTGCGGACTGCAGGCGGGTCCGACCGGCGGGTGGCCACGGGCAGGTCTACCCTGAAGGTGGTGCCGCCGCGGTGGCCCAGCCATGGCGGGTCGCAGCTGTAGAACGCCATGGGCTCCACCGGGAGCTCCTCGATTCCTGCCTCCTCGGCGAGCCACTTGCCGACCCTCCTGAGGCACGGTCGGTGAGGGAGTGCTGCAGTCTCGTCTGGAGGCTTGGGCGGTGGTCTTCCCGCGGCGGTGGCGTCGTTGCATGTTCTTTGCCATGCCTTGTAGGCTCGGTGTTGGAGGCGCGGCTGTACCTCCTTTCGGAAGAGGGACTTGCCCGGGTCGCTCGGGGGCAGACGGATTACACGCTGGTACTCCGTGCCTGCCAGCTGTAGGGCCCGAAGCGAGAGTGTCGGGAGGCCAGCCTCGGCCAGGAGGGCGTCCTTCCGGGTCGCACGTAGGCAGCCGGTGATGAAGCGGGCGCACTTGTTTTGCTCGGCTTCGAGGCGTCCTCTTACCGACGGGGCGGCGTATGTCCCGAAGACGGCGGCGCCGTAGTCGAATAGGGCCCGGATATAGCCGATGTAGGCCGCTCTGATGGTTCGGCGGTGGCTTCCCCAGGTCTTTCCGGCCAGTGCCTGTAGGCATCGCCTCCGTCGAGACATCTTGGCTTTCAGGTCGTCGATGTGGTCCGCGAAGGTGAGTTGGGGGTCAAACTTAATGCCCAGGAAGGTCGGGTTGCGGGAGTAGGGCAGCTCCTCTCCGCGCAGCGTCAGGTGCGGCTTGACCTTCCCTCCGCTCTCTTTTGGGTCGAGAGTGAACAGGGTGGCGGTGCACTTCGTCACGCTGGGCATGACTTTCCAGCGTCGCAGCCACGTGTCCACCGCGTCCAGGCAGGGCTGGAGGAGGGCGTCGCACTCTCTGGCAGTGGGGGCGCATGCCAGCAGTGCCACGTCGTCCGCGAACAGGGACCGCGAGACGTGCTCCGGCATTGCTACGTCGATGTCATTGACGTAGACCAGCCATAGGAGCGGCGCCAGCACGCTGCCCTGGGGGAGGCCCTCCTGGAAGACCCTGAGGTCTGAGCGGGCAGCGCCCCAGCGGACGCGGGCGCGCCTGTCCGACAGGAAGGCCCTCAGCCACTTGATGAAGCAGCCGGGGACTCCCAGCCGAGCCATCTTGCAGAGCAGGGCGGCCCTCCAGACTCGGTCGTAGGCTCTCGCGAAGTCCAGCAGTACCATGACCGCCCGGTGAGGTTTCTTTTCCTCGAACGCGTCGAATATCTGTTGGGATATTCGGCCGAGCTGGTCCATGGTGGAGCGACCTCTGCGGAAACCGGCTTGGTTGGGGTTGAGCTTCCCTCTCGTCTCGAGCCAGTGCTGCAGCCGGGCCTGGATCATCCGCTCTGCGAGCTTGCTTGTGGTGGAGAGCAGGCTGATCGGGCGATAACTGGACAGCTCTGACGGCGGCTTGCCTTTCTTGGGGATGGCTACGATTTCTGCTGTTCTCCAGCTGGCTGGGACGTCCGCTGCTGTCCAGGACTTGTTGATCAGGGCCAGGAGGAGAGTCTTGCCTGTTGGGCTTATCTGCTTCAGCAGCTCGTTGGGTACGCCGTCCGGTCCCGGGCTCTTCCCGTTCTGGAGCTTGTCCAGGGCTGCGTCGAGTTCGGCGGGTGTGAATGGCGCGCACGGTCCACTGCGTTGGGCGTCGCATGCGCATGCACTCACTGCAGCGCGCGCCTCCAGCTTGATGTCGCGATCCTCTTGTTTGTTGTGTGGGATCCGGGATACTGCCGCATATGCCTGGCATAGGGCGTTGGCCTTCTCCCTATCTGTCACTGCTGGTCGAGCTGGGCGGCCAGGTGGGCCAGCGCGGTTGAGGGGCTCTGCTGGTTTCGCCGGTGGTTTGCGTCCGTCCAGGGTGCGGATGAGGCTCCAGAGGTCGGTGTTGGGCCCCAGTTCCGCGATGCGCTTGCGCAGGAAACTTGTCTTTTCCTCGCGCAGGACCGTGTCCGCGTTCTTCCTTGCTTGTTGGTATTCCCGGACGTCTTCGGCGGTATGGTTTGGCGCGGCCACCTTAGCGCGAGCTTCTTTCCTGGTCGCGATTGCTTCGTCGCACGCCTCGCTCCAGAACGGCTCCCTGGTCCTTCCGCCGTTTCCGTGTGGGATGGTGCGGCGCGCGGCGCGGGTGATGGCTGCGGTGAGTCGTTTGTCGAGTTCGCTCGCCGTCAGGTCTCCGTGGTCGTTCCAGCGGCCTGTGATGTCGTCGAAGGTCCTGCGGTACTCCTGCCAGTCTGCCTTCCTCAGGGACAGGCGGCCTCTCCCTCGGCGCTGCGGCTTCGGTGGAGCTACAGGGATGCTCGTCGTGATCGGGAGGTGGTCCGATCCCATCGTCTCGCCGATCTCCCAGGTTGTTCCTCTCGCCACGGCAGCGGTCGCCAGGGTAACATCCGGCGTCGACAGGCCGCCCGTGGCTGGGTTGATGCGCGTGGCCGAGCCGTCGTTCAGGATGGTCAGTGAGGCGTCGATCGACCAGTCCTCGACTTCGTGGCCCATCGCGTCTTCTGGTTGGTGTGGGTCCCATACGTGGGCGTGAGCGTTGAGGTCGCCTGCGATGACGCATCTCGGAGGAAGGGAGATGCGGGCAGGCTGGAACGGTTGAGCTTGGGTGCCTTGCCCTGCCACCCACCTTGCTGGAGGTGAGTACAGGTTGACAACGGTTATTGACGGTGTTCCCTGCGGGTGAAGCTCTGTGGCCGTGATGTAGGTTTCTTCGTCTGGTTCAGTTGGCGCATACCGAGGCGTGGTCCGCGAGTACGGTAGTTGGTCCCGCACTAGGGTTATGACTCCTCCCTTACCCTTCACGCCGCGGGTCCCGTCGCTGCCGGTCGGGGGCTGGTGCTGGGTGGCCGCCTGCCCGGTCCCGCTCGCTGGTGGGGCGCGTGCCGTACACTTCTTACGGCTCTTGCAGCCCGCGCACCAGGAGTTACGGTCCGACGGGCCGCGGCGCTTGCAGGTCCAGCTCGGTCCAGGCGGTGCTCCCTGCCCACTGTCGGCGGGGCGGGCTGCTCCGGTGGTTGTCGGGCTCGGGTTTGCCTGGTGTGGCCTGTCTTGCCTCGCTGCTATGTTGTAGCCTGGGAAGCGTGGGTTTTCATCGCTTTCCAGGAGTCTGGTTTCTTGGAGTAGGATGACGTCGGGTTTCTCGTCTTCAATTCTCTTGTCCAGTTCGGTTTTCCTGGCCTTCAGACTGTTGCAGTTGAACTGCAGGATCTTGAGGAGGCCGCTGATGGCTGTGGGTCCTGTCTGGTTTGGGTTCCGCCCGGTGCGCGGGGTTCCCGCCGCCGGTCTCACAGCCCGCGGAGGAGCGGGCGGTGGCGGCACCGTGACAGGCGCAGGCGGGGCCGGCGGCGCCGACGGCGGCGTCCGAGGCGGCGGCGGCGGCGGCGGCGCGATGCAGCTCGGGCACCACCAGAGGTCGCGTGTGCGCGCGAGTCGGGTAATGTCCGTTGGCCTCAGTCCGGCGCATCGACCATGGTGCCAGAGGGCGCACCCGCCGCAGCGCACCGATGAGCCGCCGACTCCCCGGCCGCATACTCCGCACGGGTAGCGCGGAGGGGGGCCTGGATTCGACTCCACGTCCCCGGCCCGCATCAGTAGCAGGGCGAGGTGGGCCAGCCCTCGTCCCGCCGCCAAAAACCCGCCCGCGCCGGTCCGGCGAGGCAGGCGGTGGTAGTCGTCTTCTTCGAGGGTGTGGATGTGTGTCGGCGAACTTGGCTCCCGAGGGAGACGCCACCCCCACGTGAAGGGGTCGCCGATGGTGACAAGTAACTCCTCACTGTGACTGTGGTCTCATAAAGCCTATGATCTGTTGAACTCTGTCATGGTCTGTTATGGTCTGTGGTCTGTTATGGTTTGTAGTCTGTTGTAGTCTGTGGCCTGTAGGTAGTCTGTAGTCTGTAGTGGTCTGCCCCACCTGTTCGGGTCCGGAGCTGGTGGCCGGCTGCTGCTGCAGCTGCTGTAGCTCCTCGCTCAGCTGCCGGCTAATATCCACCTCATCTGGTTCCGTGCCGTCCACGCTGGCCACCTCGTCCGACTGCCGGGAAGAGAAAGAAGCGGTCAGAACAGAGAGAGGAGGGGTCAGAACAGACTAGAGAGGACACAGGGAAGGCACGAGTCCACGCTGGCCACCTCGTCCGACTGCCGGGAGGAGAAAGGGAGCGGTCAGAACAGAGAGAGGACACAGGGAAGGCATGAGTCCACGCTGGCCACTTCGTCCGACTGTGGGAAGAGAAAGGGAGCGTGAGAACAGAGAGAGGACACAGGGAAGGCATGAGTCCACGCTGGCCACTTCGTCCGACTGTGGGAAGGGCAAACAGAGAGGAGCGGTTAGAACAGAGAGAGGACACAGGGAAGGCATGAGTCCACACTGGCCACCTCGTCCGACTGCCGGGAAGAGCAAACAGAGAGGAGCGGTTAAGACAGAGGGAACACGGGGAGGACACAATGAGGGCGCGAGTCCACACTGGCCAGATTGTCCGACTGCGGAGAGGACCGAGGGAGAGAGAGAGAGAGAGAGAGAGAGAGAGAGAGAGAGAGAGAGAGAGAGAGAGAGAGAGAGAGAGAGAGAGAGAGAGAGAGGGGGAGAGAGAGAGGAAGGTAGATAAAAAGCGAAAGAGAGATAAAAGAAAAGGAGTGGGAGAGCAAGAGGGAGATGAGGAGGAGGGACAGTCCCAGAGAGAGTCCACAGAACATGTGACAGTGGTCATATCATCGGCACTGAATTTGTGCAGGATCTCTATCCTGTACGTTGTAAAAAAGATAAAACAGTCCTCAAATCATTACCGAAGGTCAGATAATGGAACCGTGAATGACTGACAAAAAGCAGAGCTGTGGGCAGTATCGAAACTCAGTGTAGCCCAGTTTCATGTCATGAACAGATTTCTCAAAGGCCTCGACTGTTTTATAGCCTTCTAGGCCTGAGAGTCAGCGTCAAAGACCATCGGGCGTCTAAAGTAGAAAACTAATTGAATCGTATAATCAACTCCTTCCATCACCTCATTCCATAGTCCGTGCGGATGCGCCATTTAGGGATGTGTAAGCTTTCGGTTGTTGAGAGATTGGTCAGTTGCACTCAAATTAACATCCGTAATGACTGCAAGATTTTAAATACCAGAATACATTAGGCTGTATAATACTGGAAGCCAGCGTAGTGCAAGCTTTGACAAAAGCCAATCGTGTCAACGCATTGCGTTTGGGTCTAAAAATCCAATGAAACCACCACAAATTCCCCAAAACAAGGAAAAAAATCAAGGTACATCTAATCATACGACCACTTTCACACTTCGTTAAATTGAGTCAGCCCACTCCTAACCTTTCACTGCGAGTCAGCTCAAAGGGAGGAAACCAACTCATGATCTCCTTTAAATGGTTCAATAACCATTTAAAGGACCCCCCCCCCCGACCTCACACCCCCTGAGGGTCAACGAACGGGGTGCAGGGACCCACCTCTTGGGTCCCCTTCCCTTCCACCCCATATTACCCACCCGGTCTGGGTCGAACCACCCTCCCGCATGGATCGATGAACAGGGAGACGGGCACATCGGAATAGGTTCCCTCAGGCACCCGTGTGGGTCGGAGCTGCCTCTGCCACCCCCACCCCACCCCCCTCCCCCCGTTAGGTGGATAGTAAGGAAGGGAGATGGGACCCACCTCTAGGTCAGAGTCGGCGTCAAAGGCCATATTCGTGAACTCATCGCCTCCCGCGCCCGTGTCCGTCCCGGTCTCCTGCAACACCGGGGTACCGAACCGATTACAGCCGTGACGAATTAAAACGGACATTTTCTGAAAATGTAGAGGAAAACAGCGATTGAAGCCAAGAAACTCTCAAAAGGGACTAGATATTATGGATAAATTTTGACTCAAGAGCTCATCATTATATCAAAATTTGGGGCTAAACATCAACTACACTGACATTGGTTTGGCATTTACTGGTAGGTGTGCCTAATATGGTTTATTTATCCCATTGCCTTCATTCCAACGAAGCGGCCGTGGACGCCGAACACCCCTGTATTTTGAGTCCGTCTCCATTTAGCGCCAGGTAGGCAGTCATATAAGCGTGTGAAGCCCGCCTGTCGCTTTTTTCAGCCCAGTGGGGCACAGACAGCGGTGACTGGATTTCGGGGGCGCTCGCATGTCTCTCTTAGTTCGCATTGTGGGTACGACTACGGACTGGTCAGTGGTCATTGCATTCAACGGCAACTGATAACCGGACTTGAATCAGGGAGGCTCCGACTAATAAATTGTTCTCAAACGACGATGTTTGCGTTTCAAGGAGTCTGGACAGAATGGTTACCGGTACCCGTAACATTTAACAAGTGGAGTTATTTGACACCTCGTGGCCTCAAAATCCCTACCTACCAGAAAATGACTTACGAGTTCAATTTTAGTAGACATTTGGAAAATGTTTGTTTCTAATGTTTATGTTTTTCGGAGTTGTTCAAAAAGATAAGTACAAATGTTACATTCATTCAGATAGTCATGACACCCAAGCCATATCTCAATGTTTGTTTCGTTTATCATCCGATGAATATCGGATGCTGATTAATATACCGTTGCAGCATAGAATCCTCAATAACTAAACTCCACATTATTGACATACTCCAACCAACCGACATCCAACTACCGATCGTGTTTTTGTGGTGTCTTTACTGCAGTTCCGTAAGGTGGGGCTATTTGAGACAGTGGGGCTACTTGAGACAGTATTTAAAATTGTTTTAAAATAAAAACCGTTTGAAATTTATGCTTAATTTTTGCTCAGGCGATTTACTGCTCGATTCCACACCTTCCTGAGCAAAAATATCACATAAAATTCAAACGGTTTTCATTTAATAGCGATTTTAAATACTGTCTCAAATAGCCACACTGTCTCAAATAGCCCCACTTTACGGGAACACTTCTTCATAGCAACCTCATATAAAGTTACTGAATATTTTAATGGTGTGAACTGTGAAGTGCTTGAGCGAGGAACATAACGAGAATAGATACGTGAAGAATCATTGACCTTTTCCTCGAAAATGTAAAAACCAGTAAAACGCCTTTTCGGTGAGGAACGAGCGAGCGAGATAGTGAGCCCTGCACGTGCGGAAGGGCGAGAGGGTACTTCCAACGGGCTTGTGCAAAGCACCCTTCTAGCCGGTCGCTAGCGGTGTGCCAAATTTGAACGCAATCGGCCCAGCCGTTCCTGAGATCTGGAAGCGGCATTCTGCACGTGCGCACGTGCAAACAGGGTCCAAACTGACTTTTGCACGGCACCCTACTAACCGGTCCCCAACTGTGTACCAAATTTGAGCGCAATCGGTCCAGCCGTTCTCGAGATCTGGAAACGCCCCCTGCACGTGCGCACGTGCAGTAACACCCTAACCGCAACACATGGGAATGCATTGCCTGGTGGGTGCCTACCTGTATGCCAAGTTTCAGCGAAATCGCCCCAGTAAACCGAGTTACTGAAATGGGAACAAATTTGGCACCTCTTCTTTTTGCATTTTGCACGTGCAGTGGGGGTCACTCACATATATCAATAGTATCCGACCTTTGGTAGAAGGGATGCAGCTGCCCTACAAAAATTACCGCAAGACAATCGCCCAAGCCGCTGCTGAGATATGGGCCTCTCAAAATCACTACTTTTGCAAAACTGCTTGAACACCCTTGACTTTTCACGTGGCACGTGCCACGACGGTCACTGAGATGCATCAAAAGTAGTCAATTACGGGGTAGAAGGGATGGGGCTACCCAGCAAAAAAGACCGCAGGCCAATCGGTCCAGCGGTTGCTGAGATATAAGCCTCTCAAAAGCGTTACAAGCCGGGCCGGGCCGGGCCGGGCCGCTCATACTGAGATTTTTCCCTTATATTGAAAAGACTTCGCTTCGCTCGCTGCGCTCGCTCGCTCGTAACAATGCCAAAAGTTATATTGAATGCGGTGAGCTTTCGGCTACCAGCCTTCGTCAAACCAACAAAATGACACAATACATTGTAGCCGAAAGCTCACCGCATTCAATATAACTTTTGGCATTGTTTTTACATTTTCGAGGAAAAGGTCAATGATTCTTCACGTATCTATTACTGAATATTTTGTTAAAAATAACGTATAAAACGGATAAAAATAGAACGGGTGTCATAACTTAAGGCCAAATGTGAATGAAAAGATGTGAAGACAGATTAAAAAAGCTGACAAATTATCACAATTCACAACCCGAGCCCTTCAACTACGTTCCGCGCGTGCCACCCCTGAGCACCTCTCACAACCATGACTCACCGGCGTCTGTTCGTCGATGAACTCGAAGCGGTGCGGCTCGTGCGGCGTCTCCTCCGTCTCGCCCTCCGTCTCCTCGCTCCCGGTCTCCTGCTCCTCGGTCCCGGTCTCCTGCTCCTCGGTCCCCGTCTCCTGCTCCTCGGTCCCCGTCTCCGTGGTCGGCGAGTCCTGTACCGCCGACTCACTGGAGCGGGCCGTCTCCAGCGAGTCCGCCCGCCGGCCGTCTCCCTCCACCGCCGTGTCTCCGGGCGTCTCCGGCAGCGTCTCCGGTCCGTCTCCCAGCCCGCCGCCGGCCGCCGGCTCTCCGTCATCCTCCGGAGACTCCAGAGAGGAGGAGGCCGCCGGAGAGCTCTCCGAGGGAGAGGTGGCGGACTCGGCGGCCGGCGAGCCCCCAGCCTCCCGCGGCTCGCGCCGACCGCCCGGCTGGCGGCTCCCGGACTTGGTGATCGGTAGCTCCATCTCCAGTGAGTACTGAGACTCAGGGACTGTCGGGCACACACGGGGGTAGACCGGCAGCGGTGTTAGATATGGTCGAGCGTGACAGGGAGTCGTAACGTTGAGTGGTGATGTGAACTGAATATGCAACCCGCCTGGGCCCAAGAGGGTGGTCCGCCCTAACACAAGACAAGACAAGTATGCAATTACAGCTAGGCTACCGGACCAGCCCCAGGGTTAGCGTCAAGTGAGACGGTAAAAATACAAGAGAGACGATCACAAAACGAGAGTCCATCCCCGTGTCGTCAAATCCCCCGTCCCTTAAGGCAAAAAATCTCTAGGTCTCCACGCACGGCGCTCTAGCACCCTTCTCCCTGACTCACAGCTGACCACGGCCGAGCCGCCGCTGGTGGATGTTTTGGTGCTGGGGCTGAGTGCGGCGCCGGCCGGCCCGGTGCCCGACCCGCTCGGGGTCAGTCCGGCAGTCTGACCGGCCGGTGACCCCGGCCCGCCGGCCGACAGGCGTCTGGAGGGGCTGCCGCCGCCCGAGCCGGGGGCAGAGCCGGGGGGAGAGCGGGCGGAGGACGGGGGCCGGCTGCCGGCGCTGGCCGAGGCACGCACACCGGCAGAGGAGCGGCGGGAGCTGGCGGGAGGAGGGGAGAGTGAGAGGAGAGAGTAAGGAAGGCGGAGGGATGCAGGAGAGAAAACCACTATCAGTCGCACACAGTCACGTCTTCAATACAAGATACATATCTGCGTGCAAAGGTAAAACGATTACGTTAGGGTGACCTCTGACCTGACGTAATGACCTCTGACCTGACTAATCATTTTTGCCTTTGCAAGGCAGATATCTACCCCCATTCACCGATTTCCAGTGCAGTCACTAAGCTGCACATCCATCCCTAACAAAAACGCGAGAGTTCCAGGACTCCCAGCGACTCACGGTGAGGATGGAGGGAGGTCCGAATCCCTGGCCGCCGCCGCTGCTGCCTCCTCTGATACGGCCTCAGCCTCCGGAGCCGCCGCCGCGTCCTCCTGGAAAACAGGGCACTGAATGTTAGTGGGGGCTGATGGAAAACACAACGGCATGGACCTTGAGAAGAGATCTCAATAGCATGATTTTCTCGAAACTAAATACCCATAGCCGCTGACTTGAAACCAGTAGGTAGTGTAATTTCAGTCGTGAACGCGGAAGCTAGTCATGGAACAACGCTATTTCGAGAGCAGTCCTAGCAAGCGGTTTTAAAAATACAGTGCGGATATATTCAGACCAGTACCGAATCTTCAATCAAGCTTCAAAGTTTTGTATTCCTGACTGGGCTCGTTGGTAACTCATCCCTTATTTTATTATTCCTGGAAGTTCAGACAGACCGCGGACAAAACCACTGCCCACAGGCTGAGCACCCGCTGACTTTATCGTTGTAAATCGACTACATATTGACTAAAGGTTCACTTCATATTTGACGCACAGGGATGGTCCGTTCCGGGGTCGGCACACAGCTGAGCTGCTCTGCTCTCTGTAACCAGTCTGGTACGCCTCCCCCCCCCCCCCGATTAACGCCAGTCAGAGCAGACCAAAGACCAGTGCCGGATGATTGAGGGCAGTCGCTGGTCGCCAAAAACCATGGCTCAGCAGAGCGAGGCGCCAAGCTAAAGGCGTCAGAATAAGAGTGTTGACGACAGGTCAGCGTTTCCTCATCCCTGCCTTGCCTTCCTCACAGGGAGGCACTGTGAGTTCCTAAAAGCGCACAACGGCATGTGCAGTGCACGTGCCGTCGTACGCGTTGCCTCGACCACAGGCCATCTGTGATCGAGTCTGTGATCTGTGATCTGGTCTGCGATCGAGGATGCACGTTGGAAGTGGTGCCTCGATGGATGCCTTTAGCTGGTGCAGAAAATAGGGGGTTCAATTACGCTATGCACAAGTCATTTGGAAATATCCTCTAGCACTTCCGCACATACACGGCCCACTCTCTCGCTCGCTCGTTTGTCACCCCAAAAGGCGTCTTACTGAGTAACTCGGAGTCAAAAGTCGGTCGGAGTCAATATAAGTCGGCAGGAGTCACAGTGAGTCAGTCAGTCACACTGACCTGTTCCGCAGACTGTGAGTCGGTCTGGGGTGGAGGAGCTGGTCTGTGGTCGGACGGAGTCTGTCAGAGTCACACTGAGTCTGAGTCATACTGACCTGTTCCGCAGACTGTGAGTCGGTCTGAGTCGACGAGCTGTGAGTCAATGCTGTGAACCAGTACAAGTCACTCAGAGTCACACTGACCTGGTCTGCGGACTGCGAGTCTGTCAGAGTCACTGTGAGTTACTCTGAGTCACTGACTGACCTGGTCTGCCGACTGTGAGTCGGTCGGAGTCGATATGACCTGGTCTGTGAGTCAGTGAGGGTCACTAGAGTCACTGACTGACCTGGTTTGCCGACTGTGAGTCGGTCGGAGTCGATGAGCTGGTGGTGCTCAGTTCCTCCTCCGTCTCCGTCAGACTCTCCTCCAGATGCCATCTGTCTGTGATGGGGGAAGGAGTGAGGTCACAGAGTGGTACATACGACGTCTCGTGAAAGGGGGGATAGGGTCACAGGGTGCCATCTGTCTGTGATGGGAGAGGGGGGCAGGGTGTCATCTGTCTGTGATGGGAGGGGGGCAGGGTGTCATCTGTCTGTGATGGGAGGGGGACAGGGTGTCATTTGTCTGTGATGGGAGGGGGAGCAGGATCAAAGGGTGTCATCTGTCTGTGATGGGAGGAGGGGGGCAGGGTCACAGGGTGCCATCTGTCTGTAATGCGTGTGTGTGGGGGGGGGGGGGGGGGGAGCGGGGTCACAGCTAGGATGGTACGGTACCGGTAAGCAGGGCTGCGGAGTCGGAGTCGGAGTCGGAGTCAGAGTCGACAGTTGTGACCGGAGTCGGAGTCGATTTTAGAAACCCGAGCCGGAGTCGGAGTCACCGAAAATCTGTCGACTCCGCAGCCCTGCTAGGTCTGCGGAGTCGGAGTCGCGAGTTGGAGTCGGTCGGAGTCGATTATTCTGCCCGGAGTCGGAGTCGGAGTCGGAGCTGTTTTTTAAAGCCGGAGTCGGAGTCGGAGTCGGAGTCGGAGTCGCCGAAAATCCATCGACTCCGCAGCCCTGCCGGTAAGGGTTCTCCCAAATCTGTGGCGGGCGTAATAAGATGTCCTGAGCGATGACATGATTAGAGAAGATACAACAGGCAATAGCTAAAAAAAGAGAACTATGGTTACGGGAGTGAATACTGCACCCCTCAAGGAGTGAAGACCGTGGCACATTTTACTTTCGGGAATAATAAGTATTTTTTATGGGTTAGGCCCTTTCGGTCCAATGGGACCATTTCAGAGCCGGGAGGATGATAGGAATTAGGGGGAGACATTGGTCTGGGCAGGCACCCTAGTGAGTCACCGGGGCTAAGCCCGTCCAGAGGACAGGCCACCCAGCCCCAAGGCACTCACTGCACCCGGCTACGGGGTGCGCTCCCTCGGGAGCAGCGGTGCCGCTCCAAGGGAGCAGCCCACATGATATAAAGTTGTCTGTCCAGCCCAGAGGGGGGTTGCGGCGTGGAGGAGAAGGATTTCTGTATCATGAGGATAGAAGCACGGAACGGTGAATAATAAGTCATTCACGCATACCTTTTCATCAAACAAAGAACCTTGCTCATGAATTTTTTACATCCAGGAGCTACCACATCTAAGACAAAACTCAATGAATGAAAAATACGCGACAATGATAGTTATCCCCACTACCAGCTGAGGCCGGATTTCGGCGGCGTCCGTACCGATTTCGTGCGAGCTGAGGTACTTGTGCAGGCCGCAGAAGATCTCCAGCAGGTTGTAGATGGCGTGTGCGTTGCCGGCGATCACCTGAGCGCCCGAGATGTGTGACAGGTCGACGTCGATCAGGTCCAGGGCCAGGTGGTTAATGATGGTCTGCACGTTATGCACCTCGTCCGACGGCGTCTCCGGGTGCTCGATAATGCCTAGAAGACGGGGAATGTTGTGACAAATTGGTGTGGGTGAATGCATTTGGAAGGCACAGAAGATAGGGTTTCTAATTTAGTTCGTAAGTAAAGTACGAGAAAGGCGTTCAGTGTCCATAGGACATCAAAGTGGGCCGGACATTTTCTCGTGGACATATACAAATCTGGAATCCGTTGTTATATCTATCATCTCGCATTTCATCTTAATATAACTTAACGCAATCCATATCCATGTTGAAAGAAAATACTGTTCTTCAATTAACGAATAAAATTAAATTTTGATTTCTCACTACAGAAAAAACTGCTTTGAGCTTCTCCCGAAATCAACCAGTAGACCGACCCACCCCAGCTGACCGACCTGGCGGCAGCTGCTGACCTCCCTCCCCCCTCCCCCGATCTGGCGGCAGCTGCTGAGCTCTCCCCTCTCCCCGCCCCAGCTGACCGCCCCCCCCCCCTCCCCCATCTGACTGACCTGGCGGGAGCCGATGGTTGAGCACCTCCAGCAGGCGGACGAAGAACTCTGAGCGGATGTCGCGGATCTCCCTCACCGGCTCCACCGGCAGCTGACACCGCTCGATTATCTTGTTGGACAGACGCACACAGTCTGAGAGAGAACGAGAGAGAAAATCGTCAGTCACAGGGAAGTAAGCGATCAGCGACAGAATGACAATAACAGCCAGGAGGTCGTACAATTACACTGCAGAAAACTGCATCGAATGGGTGTCGAAAAATTCCTTCCACCATGTGACTCCCAAAAGCTTACATTCCACTTCTAGTCTTCTCTTTGAAGATCATTCCAGCTCATGACACATCAAGGCCAAATCGTTTTCTGTCGCTGCTGACAGCAATGAAGCTATGATAATAATGTTATGTTCAGTGATGACCATATCTTTCACTGAGTTGGACGAGCTTTAAAAAAAAGTAACAACTTCGGTTTGGTAGTCACTAGTCTATTTGTGTGCCTTGCACAAAGGCCAACAAATCATCATAGGCGCTCGACAGAGCCAGCCCGGCCAGCCGCTCATTGCTCAATGCTCGCGTCCTGTTTATTATCAAACGCAACATACATGACACGAGGCCATCCAGGGGAAACGCGCCTTCAGTCAGCGTTACCGTCGAAGAAGTGTAGCATAGGGACGGCATGATTATGATACACAGCACGGGTGTCGTCAGCAAGTCGGCATTGGAGAGAGAGCCCACGAACACTGAAACAGCGCGCATCGAAACGCATACTAAGGACACTCACTCTCATAACAAGTAATCATAACGCTGCGACCATACCATTCATTCAATAAGGTCCACTACCACAGGAAACACAAAACAACGAATTCCTCTTGAACAACACAGGCTGAAACGATATGTAGAATTAACGACCATAAAGACTTCAAACATCTCAACAAGTTCTAGGCCCCACGAGACCGTCGACACGATTATCCCAAAACGACTAACAGCACCACAAGCATCCACACACGCACCAGCGTCCCATTCATCTTCACCAAGCCATCACCAGACACCACACCCCAGCAATCACCACCGCCGCCACCCCCACCGTTGTCCGTGCGCCGCGCGACCGTCCGTCCGGGTTCATGATGATGATCCTGCCGTCCAGCTGCGGCTCCACCCAGTGGAAGGCCCGGAAGAAGCGGATCATGACATCCACATCCAGCACATTGACGGCGTCGCTGGGCTCGGCGCCCTCCAGCACCATGCGGTAGCCGTCGCCGCCGTCGGCCACGTGCGCCGGCACCACCACGTCGTAGTCAGCGGTGACGTTGAGCGGCTCGAACACCCCGCCCCGGCGGACGGTGACGGAGACGGCGCGCTGACCGGCCGGCGCCATCCAGTCTGCGACCAGACGCGCGCCGGCCAGGTGCAGGAAGCCGCCCGTGTGCGCCAGACCGACACTGTGGTCCAGAGTCAGCTGCAGCGTGCTGCCCTTCATCCGCACCACCGTCAGCGTGTCCTGGTACGGCATCGCCTTGAGGATGCCGCCCAGCGTGATGTCGCCCGCCGGGATGTCGCCGTTGGAGAAGGCCGCGGCGTTGATGAGCGCCACTCGCACAGAGTCGCGGAGCGACTCGGCGTGCCGTCGCAGCACCCAGAGCACCGCCTCGGCCACCAGGTTACCGAGCGCGCACTCGCGGGCGAAACACGCCTCCGGCGAGCCGGCCAGCGGCACGCGGATGTGGCCCAGCACCTCGGTGCGGTTGTGGTCGAGCAGACGGTCGTACTCCTCCATGATCTTGTCCACCTCCTCGTCGCTGCGGTAGGAGGATTTCAGGAGGAAGATGTGCGGCCACCAGTCGCGCACCTCGCCGTCGGCGTTGATGCCGATGTCGATCGAGCCCATGTACTTGCCGTGTTTGCCAGCGTGCACGATGGCGACCTTCCGGCCAGAGCGCTGTGTCACCACCGCGGGGTAGATGGAGTGCGCGATGTCGGCTGGGTCCTCTGGCGTCATCGGCACGTACGTCTGCCACACGCCCGGCCAGGCCAGCGTGTGAGAGTGGCCGCCCACGATCACGTCCAGGCTGGACACCTGGTCGGCAATCTCCAGGTCACGGTCCAGGCCGGCGTGGCCGACCGCCACGAACACCTTCACGCCGTGGCCGAACATGTCGCGCCGCTTCTGGTAGCTGGCGTCGCCGAGGATGAGCGCGATCTCGCGGTTCAGCGCCTCCACCTCGTCCTCGAAGATGATGGTCTCGTTTGGTTGGAGCAGCACCTGCGCCTCGGGCGTGGTGTAGCCGAGAAGTGCCACACTCATTCGCCTATGGCGGCCGACCGCCTCACGCATCGACACCACGCGGTGGCGCGGACATAGCTTCGTGAACTCGGCTTGCAGAGTTTCATTGAGCTGGCTGAAGTCATAGTTTGTGCAGAGGAACTTGGGCCCGATTCGGTGCATAAATGACAGGAGGTTGTGAATGCCATCGGTGAACTCCTGGGTACCCAACACCAGGGCCGTGTAGGGCATGTGAGACACGACATCGGCGACCATTTTCCAGCCGAAATAGGAGTAGTAGATGTGACCTTGAAAGAAGTCCCCGGTGTTCAAATTGAGAGGATGATGATAACGATGGGCCATGTGCTTACCATACGCTACAGCGCGGGCGAAGCCTCCATAACATGTAGTATTCGTTGCTGACGCGTTCTTCGGACAGACGTTATTCAACGAGGTCACTTCATCAAAATGTGAGTGAATATCACCCTGATGAACAATGGGCAGCCAATGGCATATGATTTTACCACAGGGAAACATCTCATACGCCATCAAATATTCTACGTTCGTAACAACCAATAATGATGTAATAAAAATGACAGCATTCATGACTTCTGCCAAATACCCTTCAAGCTAGAATCGCGGAGGAAAAATGCGCTTATATTTCAAGCTTCCAGCCCAAGTCAGATGTCTTGAAATGTTCGTCTATGTACTAAGAAGATACCGCCAAGGTTCTTGCGATATCGTCTCGTAAAAAAAAAGTTTTTGGCCAAGTCAAGATTTCTAAAACACGCCGAGCAAAATATGCCGAACAACCTATTCAATTTCTATTCAATGTACTCTGTCGACGTTTCGGGATCTTGCTGCCGCTACCGAGCAACTGCCGATTAACAGCAACTTGAAATTTTCGTTTCTGCGCCGTTAGGAACCGTGCAAAAGGTAAACATAGGCACTACAGTTTGAAGAACCCCAAAACGAGATCGTAACTTTTCCAAGGTATGGATGTACGAGTATCATGGCAGCTTTGCGAAACCAAGCAACGAGATGTTTATAACTACCCCGAGCCATAAACAAAGCGCCGTGACAAAACGAACATAAACCGATTAGGCATTGATAGATTCCTGCTCCAGAGTCCAGATACGAGTTCAAATCTGAGAAAGCTGCTAGCATTGAAGCACAATTTGGCCTTTCATGCTGAATGAGAACGCAACGCCACACTGGTGGTTCCTTGAATGTTCCTTGAATGGCCAGTTTCGTATCCGTGGTCTAGTCGCTACACGTGGATATTAGATGTGTACGAACTGAAGAAATGTTTCTAAGAAAAGTCACGATGAAAGCCAACGTTCCAAGCCGCCTCCCTTTCAGGGCGTAAAAGGTGAAGGAAGCATTCCAAGCAAACGTTAACAGTCCCGTAAATGTAATTGTTTCGGGATGAATTCATAGTAGAATAAAAGGTGACTGTTAAGTGTAAATCAAGGGTTAAAAGTGTACCACTAGAGTTCAGAAGATGTATCAATCTATACAAAGCAGGCAAAACTCTCCCAGCGCATATTGCATTGACTTTCCCTGTCGCCACCAATGTTGGTGAAGCGGTTCGCTCCTCAGCGAAGCCGCGGTGTAGTGCCAGCGATGTGTGGATTTAATTGTAGATGGCGGCACCATCGCCTCGTTTGGACAGCGCCGCAAGGAAAACCGGAGAGGCGAGCGATTTCAAAGCGACCCCTGCGGACAGCCGAGACGCCAACACAATACGCTGGTTTATAATTCAGTGTGGTGGCCCTCCAGTTCACCGGCCTGTGGCCAGTTCATTCCCAACTGTGAAGGTTTCACCTCACTCATACAGATACTCACTACGGCAGTTGGTAGACCGAACCAGGCTGGTTGATTGACGTCTCATGCAATATGCATATTTGTGAGTTGTGACATCTGTTGACCTGGCGTACAGGGCCCTGTTTCAGCATAAAATGATACCTGAGGCCAGCAGTATCGTGGTATTTGGTTTCCATGGAAACATCAACAAGCTTCATTGGAATGTGCTGCCAAGTGAACGGAATACATCACAAAACAATACGCCGTGAGCAGCGTTTGGCAATGGCGCTGTCGTAGCGATTAACATGCTTGCACAGCTGTATGAGCCATAGGATCCCCGACCTCGTCCCCAGGGAGACGGGACGGGCCCCGGTTCCGGCGGTCTGACGAACTCTGCAGCCGTCCGCGTCTGACCCCGCCCGCCGCAGGGACGTTACGATACGATGGCGAGACGAGGCACGAGTGTGCGACCATTCTTGACGAACTCACTGAAGCCGTTTCGATTCGCATAGCTAAGAATGCGACTGTTGCGGAGTCAGAGTCAGTCGGAGTCACAGTTTTGACCGGAGTCGGAGTACCTTTTAGAGACCGGAGCCGGAGTCGGAGTCACCGAAAATCCATCGACTCCGCAGACCTGCCAGGACTGCGGCGACTCCAAAGACCTGGTTAAAACTACGGTTTACTTTCATTGAGTAGGTATATGTGGACAGGATAGAAGGTAATGCATCAAACGACCGTACCTTTACACTTCTGACCTCCGGCCACCGGAGACTCAGCGAACGGAATACAAAACAAGTTCGACAGAACATGGGACTATATCAGAGGCCATGGAAAAGTTTTCGTGTGAAACCTTACCTCTTCTTCTGATTTTCCTCTCAGTCATGTTTACAGATGTAGTTGCCCAAAATTTCTATAAGAGTCCAGCTCCTGGAAGAGAAGAAAAATATGTCAGACCATGGTCTTATTATTACTTATAAGTAATAAGTTTTAAAGGTATTGTGCTGTCATCATAAGGACATCCCTAAATGACTGGTGGGCATTGTTGTGAGTGGCATAATCTCAGTTTTACAAAGAAATGATCACACAATTACACCACAACTAAGCTGAGATGAAGCATTACTAAAATACTGAATGCAAGGTCAATACCTCGTATAGACACCACTAGCCTCTAATTATACATTTGCTGAATGATTATTATCTTTAAGCTTATCTATTAATTATCTATTAATCTTATCTTTAATCTACTATCTGCCTAACATACCTTAAGAGGTCTGGAAAAGCATCTGCACACGCATCAAAAAATGCTATTGCATTCTTAAAATGCTTGAGGCATTAACACTTAAACCAACAAACAAACCTTAAAACCTACAACCTACAAACCTACCCTACACAACCTACAAACGTACAGTGCCTCTCCTCAGTTTGAGTTGGAAAACCTTCATGTGACGTCTGATCTACTACCTTACCTTACCTTACCTTACCTTACAGTATCGGGATTTTTAGGCTTAGAGCCTGTCGTACCCGATCTCATCGAGCTCCTGGTATTTGGCTTGTCCAGGATCAATCGGAATCGGGAATGGTGTATCGTAAGTGGGACCAGTGTGCATCCAGCCTCGCCTTGAAGCAGTTGAGCGATGGGGCGCAGACCACCTCAGACGGGAGTCGGTTCCAGTCGTTCACGACTCGTAGAGCGAACGAGGATCGTCGCACTCTCGAGGTTGCTGGACATTTCCTGACTTTGTATGGATGCCCACGAGTAACTCCATCGGCCAGCGTGAAGAACGTTTCAGGGTCGGTATCGAGCCCCCCGTGGAACAGCTGGTACATGAATATCATGTCTCCTCTACGTCGCCTGTAGTAGAGTGAGGGCATCTTCAGCATTCGGAGCCGCTGCACGTAGGGTTCGTGACGGATGTTCTCAACCAGTCTGGTTGCCCTGCGCTGCACTCTCTCAATCAGTCGCTGGTCCGCTCTGTTAAACGGTCCCCACACGAGGTTACCATATTCTAGGTGCGGACGAACCAGAGTCTTGAAGAGAAGAGGCAGGGTGATCTCATTAATGAGGGAGAATGACCGTCTGATTACTGCGAGGAGCTGAGTTGCCTTTGCTGCTGCTGATGCAGCATGTTCACGGAACTTCAATTCGGCGTCCACATGGACTCCCAGATCCTTTTCAAGGCGTGTGCTGGCTAGGGAGGTGTTGCCCAGTGTGTAAGCAGATCCACAGTTTCTTGTTCCTAGATGCAGCACTGTACACTTCTTCTGGTTGAATGGCATCATCCATAAATCAGACCATCGTGACAAGGACGTAAGATCCGTTTGTAAGGCGGCCGAATCGCTAGGGAGACGAGTGTAAGTGTACAGCTTCGCGTCGTCGGCAAACAATTTCACGGTGCAGTGGACCACGTCTGGCAGGTCATTCACATATACTAGAAAGAGCAAGGGTCCCAGCACGGAGCCCTGGGGTACGCCGCTAGCGACCTCCGTCCAGTTCGAGGGACATCCGTCAATGACCACCTGCTGCTTTCTGTTTGTGAGGAACGCCTGGATCCAAGCCAGTAGTTTGCCGGACACCCCGTAGCTCTGGAGCTTACTGAGAAGTCTGTGGTGTGGCACGGAATCGAAGGCCTTCTGGAAATCAAGGTAGATGACGTCCACTGGGTTGCTTTGTTCGATGGCCCTACTCCAATCTTCCAATGCTTCTAGTAGTTGGGTGCTGCACGATCTGCCCGGACGAAAGCCATGCTGATGAGTGGACAACAGGTTGTTCTCTGTCAAGAACTTCAGCAGCTGGTCGCGGATGATAGATTCCAGTGTTTTGCAGAGTACTGATGTCAGACTGACCGGACGGTAGTTGCACGGGTCAACCCTGCTTCCCTTTTTGTGGATAGGGACCACGCGTGCAAGCTTCCAGTCTTCTGGAATACACCCAGTGTCAAGTGACCTGCGAAACAGGTAGGAGAGTGGTGCCGAAAGAGAGCAGCACGCTTCGTTGAGGACTCTCGGATGAATCTCGTCAGGCCCAGGAGAACTTGATACCTTGAGCTTTCTGAGCTTAAGTTCCACTGTCACCGGGGAAATGTCAATATCAGAGAGGCTGCACGTCTGGTTCCTAACAACGAGCCTTGGTACATCATTCACATCCTCGTTCTGGAAGACTGAGGCAAAGAACTCATTTAGAGCCGTGGCCTTAAGAGTAGCATCACTAACCATGAGTCCATCAGAATTTCTCAGGTCACCGATCCTCGGTTTAGTCTTAAGCCTGCTATTGCTGTATTTCCAGAAAGCCTTTGCATTTGTTTTTAAGTCTGCCACCAGTTGTGTTTCGAAGTTAGCCCGGAGCTGCCTCGTTAGGTGTCTCAATTTGTTCCTGCAAGACTTATATCTGGCTATGTCGATCGGGTCGCGAGAAGCTGCAGCCTTCATCCACAGTGTGTTCTTTTGACTTCTTAGCTTGAGGGCACCACTTGTCATATAAAGATTCTTCCGCGTCTTACAGCTCTTGGAGAGAGGGACACATTCTAAAACTGTTTTGTTCAGAGTTGTTTTGAAGAGAGAGTACCCCTGATCAACAGAACAAGTGATCAGGGGGGTCCAGTCAGTGCCAGATAGTTGCCGGTTTAGACGGGCGAAATCTGCTCTATGAAAGCTGAACTTGGGCTGCTCAGTAGTTGCTTTGGCAGTGTAACAGTTAAGGCGAAAATCGAGGACCACATGGTCACTCTTGCCTAGGCCTGAAGAGTACTTGAGGTCAGAAAGCATCCCTTCTTCAGCCGTCATGATCAAGTCAAGGGTGCTTGCCCTTTCAATACCGCGAAATCTTGTGGGTTGAGTGACGTGCTGGTATAAGAAGCAATCATGTACTGCTGTCAGGAACTTGTGTGTGTGGTTCGAGGTTGGAGCAGAACAGATGTTGCTGGCCCAGTCAATTTGTGGAAGATTAAAGTCTCCTGCAATGAGCAAGTGTGAGACCTTGGAAGAGCAAACCTCATGCAGTAGATGCACAATCTCATCAATGCTCCCATTCAGATCAACACTTGGGCTCCTGTATATGCACCCAATCAGTAAGATGTCTGATCCTCTGAGATTCACATGTAACCACAAATGTTCAACTAAATGAGAATGGGTCATTTCAACTTCCAGAGCAGAGAGCTCATGATGAATGTACACAGCAAGCCCTCTGCACTTCCTGCCAAGATCACGCTCATCATGATTGAAATTAGTGAAAAGGGTGTACCCAGGGATGGCAAGAAGAACTGGTGCTAGAGGCAGTACTTGTGCTTTTGGAATAACCTCAGTGATGAGGATAATATCGGGCTCCCTGCCAGCAATAACCAAGCAGAGCTCATCTCTCTTGTTTACAAGCTGGTCTGCATTAGTGTACATGCATTTTAGGAGTTTTCCTTTCTGAATAGAGCCAGGAGCCTCAGAGCAGTATGAGTGTGCCTCATTTATTCCAGACTGGTTTGACAATCTTGCTTGAACATGGCTGATTGGTGTAGCTAGTCAGTCTTCGGCCTGGGCTACTGCTCCTGATGGAACAGTGCCAGCCTGGTTGGCTGCTCCTGATGGAACAGTGCCAGCCTGGTTGGATGCAGGGCTGGGCTGAGGAGGGTTCAGGGGTCGGGATCGAGCCCCCGAGGAACCCGATCCAGTGTGAGTTTCTGTAACTGTGTGAGTTCGCTCCGTCTCTCGTACTCGTCCGCGCTCCGTCTGCACAAACGCACTCGCTCGTGTCTAGCCGCGTACTGTTTATTGGCGCAGTGACCGGTCAGATGCTCGCTACCGGCCTGCCACCTAGCGGACACACGCAGAGCTATTAGTTAACACTCTCACACCCCCACACCAGTTTCAATCTAAATATATGAATAAACATTGAGACAATCAAATCACCAGAGCGGTGAACAACGAAAAAATAAATACAGAAAATAAAAGACGATTAGTCCAAAATAGACGGAACTCAACGGACAGTTCAAAGCGGCACAGAAAGTGCCTAACACCAGAACACCGCAATGATAGAACCAAACACCTCACTCCCTGGGTAATAACTCAAGTTGCTGAGAACATTCACCTTACACAGTCATGAAATATTCGCAAACTAACGACAGAGTCGGGGAATATTTCACATTTCCTCGATGAGTCTGCGCGTCTGTTTCTTTATTCTCGTCGATCGCCTCAGTGGCTGCTGCTGCTGCTGTTGCCGCCGCTCAGTCTGTGCAGGTTTCAGACTCGTCTGCTGCTGCTGCTGCTGCTGCTGCCGTCGTAGCTGCTGCGCAGCCTGTGCAGGTTTCAGTCTCGTCTGCTCCTCTTCCACCGCCGGGGAGCTGACTGCGTGCGGTTCCGAGTAAGCGTATCGCTGGCGAAGGAACCTGCGGTTCCTGGTGAGGACACGTCCGCTGGGGAGCCGGATGAAGTACCTCCGCCTCCTGCCGTCAACTTCAGTAATCACTCCGGAGCGGTCCCAGCGTTTGTTGACGTGGTTCTGCACCATCACCTGGCTGCCGACGCGCAGGACAGGCAGATTTCTGGCGTGCTGATTGTAGCGCCGCTCTGAGTCGTCCTTCAGATCGGCGGCAGCTGTGTCAGCTTCATCAGCCGATCTTTGCCAGCGAGGATCGAAGACACGTCGGTGAGCCGGCAGAGTGTCTCGGACTGGTCGGCCGAACACTATCTGAGCCGGACTCCTGCCGCCCGGTCCCGGTGTGTTTCTCTGCTGCAGTACGCCGCGGGTCCACGCGTCGATGTCCAATCCACCAGGCGACTTCCAACACCTGCGAATCAGCTTGCTTGCGGCCTTGACCCCAGCTTCTGCTCGTCCATTTGACTGAGGGTAATGCGGCGATGAGATGACGTGCTCCACTTTCCACTGCTCCATGAACTGCTTGAAGGCCCTAGACGTATACTGTGGGCCACCGTCACTGAAGATT